AAAGCTTTCTTGTCACCCTCTTAGTGGATGCTCTCTACTGCTAGGTGTTCACCATGTCTTCTTTGAGGGGTCTCCTGCTGCTGTCATCAGTGGTTCAGTCACATACACCAACATGTTTGATGCAAAATGCATTCCCAGGCAAAACAACAAGCATTTGATGTGCTAGCCAAACCTAAACCAAAAACAATTGATGGTTCATCATGACAAAAAGGCCGTTTCCGTTGCCGGGACTCGAACCCGGGTCTCTCGGGTGAGAGCCGAGTATCCTAACCAACTAGACTACAACGGATTTGCTATCAAGGGATAGTAAATATTAATATATCTAATAAGAATATATTAGTTTTGTCAAAGAAATATGGAGAGAAACTATACCATGTAATCATGAGAAGAGAGAGACTGTTCTTCTTAGAACATGTTATAAGGAAAACCCTCTTAATTAAGGAACTCTTAGAATCATGGAAGTCGGTTTTTGAGTCTGTTTGATGAAGCTGTGGTTTGCTTTCTCTGTGCAATTTAGTTCTGAATATTGTCTTCCCCCACATTGAGCTTCTTGTTCTTTAGGGTAATATTTCTTCAGAGTTATTGAGTTTGGTGATGGAGTCCTTTGGAAGTAGTAAAAGTTTTTGCTTGGTCATGATCTTGTGATGTTCTTGTCTGTGTTTCTGCACGAGATGTTCATTTGGTTTCCTAGATAGATGTTTTTTTCAAGAACAAAAATCCTCATAAGAATCACATAATAAATTCCTGACTTGCATCATCATAAAATTGTAAGATATTATTCTGTGAAAGATGAGTTGTTAATCTCTTAGGTTCAACACCAACATGCAATAATTTCCATGAATTGTAAACTAAGTCCAAAAGCAGATCCTTTTGCTCCAAGATTGCCACAAGGAACCATAAATGATGCAGCACTTCACATTGATGGAATTAAATATTTAGCATTGGCACAACTTTTAAGTGTAGGTGAGATCTAAAGAAAGTTAGAGCCAATATATGGATTCCAGGTGTCAATTTGAAGACAACAAAAAAACAAGTGGAAGGTTAAACAATTAAATTAGATGTAAGGATGCAATAATTCAAGTGCCCTTTTTTGCAGATGGAAGTGATAAATAAAGCCAGAGCACAAGTTCTAAAAGTTGCCTTCAATTGTGGCTGAACCCCATCCATAGACATAACACAAGTTGGGGATCATACAACTGAACCACATGCATTTGTTTAATCAAAGTGTTTTGTCTACAACCAGAGTGTTTATGACTCTAGCTTCATCTTTTAGGCCATTTGGAATCACTTTATCTGAGATAAATATTCTTCAGATTAGATTCAATTTTGGAATGTATCTTGCATGTTATTGCTTTGACATGCTAATTAGTCTATGTGATAGCAATAATATAGGCTTTGTCTAAACCTATGAACTGGTTGCTCATAGGAGACTACATGCTCATAGAGCTATGAATTGGAATAACAAATGTAAAATAGCCTTCTTGCCAAATTAATTTTCTTATATGAGACTTGTATTGCCCTCTGAGTTATTGTGGGCATATTATTTTGAAGATAGATATAGTATTATTAAACCAGCCAGTTCCTGTACTCCTCAGCATCTCAAAGCATGCCTTTCTGTGTGATTATTCCTTTTTTCTAATGTTATTTTTGTGCATCATGACCCTCTCCAGTGTTGCAGTGTTGTGAAACAGTCAAAATAAGCTCATATGAAACTAGTCTGCAATTGGATGCCACAAGAAAAAAGATGAAATCAAATGTGAGTTAGATGGAGAAGAGCATCTCTCCATGCTGGTGATGTTGGATATGATGACATGTTCTACTCTGGATGAGAGTTGATCAAGTGCAAAAATATTGTCTTGTGCATATGATAAAAAAATAATTGAGTAGAAATAAGATATTAAAATTAGGTTTAGTGAAGTCTAATCAAGCAAACTGATACCAGTTAAATGTAAGCTACCTCACTAATATCTTTTCTTGTTTGACTATAAATCACTTGCATATGGTGCTCAAACCTTTTCATTTTCTTAGTCTTGTTAATCTGAGATGCACATCTATATTTTGACTCAACCACTAATTTGAGGAGTAGGTGGGAAGTGAATCTGCAGCCACACCAGATTGATGGTCAGGGAAAGGATATTAATTAGAAAAGATCCACTCATATTCACTGTATCGGTATCACTAGATTCAGGCCAAAGGCTTCACAGAGTGCATCTGTGATTCCACTATACAAATATTTGATGATACAGTAGTCCATATTGCACTTGTATGAAACTAAAGGAGATCCTTGGCAATCCATGGTGCTAAAGCCCCACTGGCCTTAGTCTCCTGCTGATAAGGAGCCTTCTATCTATTTTATCTTGTTTTGATCCTCAATATGTGGACACTTGAATCTACAATTATGCATGAAGAGTCATTTTACATCCTACTCTGTTTCACTAAAGTTTCTTTTCATTTTAGAGCCTCCTAAAAGGACTCAATTTACTGTGTTACATTGCAATCCCAGCAAACTGGTGGCACATCATTGTCACTCATTTATCAGCAGTATGTCCTGCCTCACAATCAATATGACAAACACATCTCATATGCTTATTTTCTAAGAGACAAAAGTATCTTGAAGACTTGCTTTAGAAGGATGCCAAAGCCATTCCCTGACCAATCACCATCATGATTAGCCCTCACAATGAACATGATCAAGAATATATTTCATAAACTTATTTTTTTTAAAGATAAAGATGATGTCCCTTACTAGCATTGATGATCACACCAGGCTTTAAAGATGCCAAAGGCAAATTAAGCTACTCCCAACAGACAGTATCCCTAGTTTGTATCTATGGCCACACCTTGTCACAATCTTGCAACTGTTCTGAAAGCTTATAAACATCATGTTGCATTTGAGTTGTTCCTGGAGTCATCCAAACCACTCTCCTCCACAAGTCACATACATTCTAGGAACTCTTAATATGTGGAACTGCTAACTTTCACACAAAATTCTACACAATGGTAGATCCATATCTTCCACACATTGATTAGGGAATGTACTGTTCTCGAGAAAAATGATTTGGTGATGATCATGGTCAGAAGGGCAAAGCTTCTTCTAGAGGAAATGGTGCTGAAAAGGCAGCAGATGAGGACCACAGGATGGCAAGGAGGAGCTGCACAATGAGTGCACACACTGAACAAGGTTCTGAAGCCCTTGACTTCTACTAAAATTTGTTGCAGAAAACAAGGAGATGATGGAAGAAACCTGTAACAACATCAGAAACAGCCACAGCGGCAACAACATCAGCAACAGACGAAGCTTTTGGTGGGACTCATCTTGGATGTCTTGTTCATCTCTGCATGGTAAAACAAGGCACCTAACTTTCTCATGCTTGCTGGATGTACTCGAGCATTTTAATCCTCGACCAACAGACAAGGGAAAGGGAAGAAGAAAGAGCCTCAGGATGATCAATGCGACATAACTCCTTGGCCCCCAGCTTTGCCAAGTAGCTGTTGATACTTCCACCACTGGTAGAACCGGAGATGAGGTCCACGCGACATTACAATCGGTACCTGTGGCTATTAGCTAACCGAGCTCCCAAGCACTGACCTACCAAACTTAGATCTGACAATGATGAACAGTTAAAGTTTGGCATGGCTTCCTGGAATCCATGTGCCATTGTCTCCATCTCATTCAAAACAGCAACTCAAGGCATGGGTGATATGATGCAGCTGATTCATTCATAATTTCATGATCTTGGGATCCATCAGTCATCCCCATCTAATTTCCCTCCAAGAGGATCAAAACCTTCAAGTTAAATGTTTGCCTAAGCAGCAGCTGCTGACTTGCACCAAAGACTGTTCTGATAAGATGACTATATGGAGATTTAGGTGCCTTGGTGTACCATATTCTCCTAAGCAAGGCTATAATCAAAGAACTCTTTGAAGCTGTGCATATGATCACAGGATATGTTCTTTCTCAACAGCTGCTGAGATGGTAGCATAATGTGAACCAACCATTAACTGACACAGGCTATCAAATCTCACCTTTTCCCAGAGAAAGTGTATCATAGAATGAACTGATTTGTTCTCAGAAAACAATAGCTTGCAGGAGTTGAATGTTTGATGATTCGAGGCCTTGGGTGCTCCTCCTTGAGAGCTAAAAGTGTCCTTTCTGAACTGTTGACAGCCATGGCTTGATGAGGATTGAAGAATGCCATTAATGCCTTGGCAAGTGAGAAGAAGGGGTTGGGGGTGGGGGGGCTCAGTTACTCATGCTTTTTTTTCTTGGATGCCATTATTTCACGGTAACCTCGTTGTTCATCAAAGGAAACTGTGCAAGTTCTTGAAGAAGACAAGAGGTTAATGGTTTTTGATTGAATTATTCTTCTGTGGTAGGATGTTGCAGGTGATCTATTAATGGAGATCCAATTCTGGGCAGGTTCACCGGGAGTGACCGGATCCCACTCTCAAAGGAAATGGGGGAGGGTAACTTCGTAATTATCCTCAACCGCAGGGTCAATCTTTTTCCCAATACTTGCCGTCCTTTGCGATACCCCCTTCTCTCTCTCTCTGTCTCTCTCTTTCTATTTGCCATCCATTTGGGAGCGAGGGTAGGGGGGGGTGTTCTCAGCGCTGCACCGGTCCCCGCGCATCCACGCGGCTCCAACCGATCGCACGAGTCGCAGCAGAGAAGAGAGAAGACGGGAAGATCGATCTTTCTGCACGTGATTGGTTCCGGTGTGTAAAGGTGAGTTTCTGGTGGATGTTTCGGCTCGCAGTTCAGGGCACCACCACCGAAGCCTTGATTCGAATTAAAAGCCGGCGTCGCCTGCTCCACGGCTTGAACTCTAGAACGGAGTCAACAATTAGGGGTAAAGCTTCCCCCTTATTGAGTCTCTTATCGGTGTGCTCTTTATTATCCTTTCCCGGCCGGGTAAAAGTTGGGTTTTGGTTTCTTCTTAGTGTTGCTCCCCTCCTGCAGCTAGAAAGTTATCGCTTTGAGTGAAAAAGATGGCGTCTTGGTTTGGGAAAATTGAGACGATAACTGTGTCCTTATGGCCGAAGCTCTTTTTGGTTTTTGTTTCTGGCTGTATTAGGTTTGATGTAAAGCTTATAGAAAGATTAGAACAGGAATCCGTCGTAGAAATTAGCTATTTTGCTGTTCCATTTCTTCTCGACGTTTGTGGAACTCACTTCGTTTGGTTGCTTTCATGGGCGAAAGGCACTGGATTTCTTGTTATCGGTTAGGTGGGCGACAAAAGCAAAAGGGGGAAGGAACAAAGAACCGCACTGTTGTGGTTCGATGTGCATGTACCCACTTGCGTCTTCACATGTCACGTTTGGTCGCTTTCTCTTATCTTTTTTCACGGCAGACCTTTTCCTTAATATCTCGTTTTTGATGTGTTTCCAGATGTACTGGTGCTGCAACTGATGGAGAAGGTGAAAAATTTCCAACTTACCACCAGCTTGGTTTTGGTTAAAAGAGCTTGTGGTGAAAGGAAACAGTAGGGGTACCATTTTATTTCCGAAGTTGACTTCTTTATTGGTCAGTTTCCTTCAGTCTGAAGAATGTCTTGTGGTAGAACAATAAGAAGTCCTGTATGGTAGGAAGGAAACTTAGCAACTTTTTGATGGCAGGACTGGAGGACGGGGAAACATTGGTAGAGGGGAAATAAATCGAGTGAATAATTGGAGGGTATGATATCCGTGGATGTCATACGTGGTGAGGAGCACTAGTGCTAATTGTTTCATCAGCCAACTGGTGGTGCAGCCCTTGATCGGATTTGTGGCAGAATAAACCACCTAGAGAAAGTTGTATCTTGTATTTTGCTTCTTTTTTGGCTGTAAGAAGAAGTGAAAGGAATACCTACCTGCTTTCGAGTCATCCTTTTGGTGGACGGAGTATTCTTTAGCCAGGACTGAAGAAGATAAGGGCACAGGGGATTCAATATGTTCATGTGCGGAATTCTGACTTGACAACTGGAGGTAAAAATTGATTTGTCCATCTCATTGTTATGTTTTCCTGATCTAATGAACAATTGTTTGTTTGCAGTTCACTTTTCACAAGGTTTGTCATTTAGGCTGGAAGAGGTCTGAATAGTTTCTGAAGTTTTCTTAGTCTGTATGCTTTTATCTGGATTTGCCAAGTTGTGTGCACTCTTTTTAATTGAATTAATCCCTGCCTGATCCAGTGCCTACAAGTTCACTTCTATTTTTTAAACATTTTCTTGGGGCAGAATAATACTTGGAAATCTTACTGCAAGTGCTTCTTGGATGGACTGGGTTGCAAAAAACCCATTCCAGTGGGATTGGGAAACTCTGGACTTATTCTGTGGAAAAGAGAGTGAAATTTATAAAACTGCACAGGAACCTGAGTTGAAGATTGAAGGTGGCATGGGTATTTGCAATGGATTTGTATGTTCATCTGGTGGTGGTGCCTCCTCCGTTCTACAATTGGGAAATCGTTCATCCAAAAGCTCCATCTCTGCATCCATTGATTCTTTGTCTAAGGCAGAAAAAGGAAATTCGGACTTCAATTATGATTCAGCTGAAAGGGATGTTAACAGCTCGAGCAAGATTATCTTAGCAAGGGTTGAAGGTTTTGGAACTTCACCGGTACCCTTGGCTGCAGGACGCCCTAAGGAACCAGTTACTGGTTTGAAGCTTGGAAGGACCTTCTTCGAAGATGGTGGTGCAGAGAATAACATCAAGAGCTCATCTTCATCTGCTTCTATGATCTTGTCTACTGCTGTAGCTAAGAAATCTAGGGTATCTCCACAGAATTTACAAAGCCCTAAATGCCAGGTAGAAGGTTGTAATGTTGACCTTACCACAGCTAAAGATTATCATCGCAAACATCGAGTCTGTGAAAGCCATTCAAAGTCCCCCAAGGTAATTGTAGCAGGCCGGGAGCGCCGATTTTGTCAACAGTGTAGCAGGTGAAGCTTTTTTTAGTTGTTTTGTGAAAATGAATTTAACATATGATGAAGCATTCTAGTTATATGTTACAGACCCTTTTTGGTTATTTTTGGTCTTCTACACATCCTATCAATAAACTCATGTAACATTAAGATAAAAGCTCTTTTTCTGTTCGATATAGTCATGCTGCTTGTAGTAGTCACACCTCTTGGATGGCTATTGTTCAAGAAATACTTGCAATGTTTAAAGTGGCAGGGATCTGTTTTCTTAATAAAATGGCTAGTGAAAAGGACTAATAAATCCAGATTTGGCTATTGCAGTATAGCATTAGGGCTCTGTAGCAGCATATTCTGTGCAAGTGCTCTACTTACTGCGTTGTCTCATAGCATATATGCTGTGCTCTAGATATTTTATTACTTTATATTCTTGCTGCAAAATGTTTTGCAATGCTTTTAGTTGACAAAGTTGAACAGCCTGAAAGTAACCTTTTGGCCATCCCAGGTTCCATGGTTTGTCTGAGTTTGATCAGAAAAAGCGAAGTTGCCGTAGGCGTTTATCTGATCATAATGCACGTCGCAGGAAGCCACAACCAGCAACAATCTCATTCAGTTCTTCAAGGCTTTCTTCGTCATATTATGGTATTACCTTATTTGGCCTCTGAAATCAGTAACTTCAATTTATCTTTCTTTTAGAGAAACATGGTCTAAAGAGATGTGTTATTTTTAATTGATCTCTGATTGACAGTTTCAGTGCTTTTTAATACAATATTTTGTGTTTTCCTGCAGTTTTCTGAAGAACTTAATCAGGCACACGATTTGGAAGCAAGCAATTAATTTTTAATTTGAATTTTCTTTCGTAGATTGGCATGGAATAACTCTGTTTCTACATTATTGGATTTGATTTTCTTACTTGCTTTACATTAGATACATGGGTTTAGATAGGTTTATAACTTGCAGTTACTGCATGAGCACCCACAAGGAAACTTCTTCTCTTACTTGTAGACACTTTTGTATTTTAATTTTATATTCTTCTCTCCCTTCTTAGGTTATGTACTGTCTACTGCTATTTTGATGCATCCTGGTTCAGCCTAAAGGGTCTATCTGATTTTTTTTTTAGAATTTTGATTTAAGGTTTTGAGCAAGAAAAGTCTGATATGATTTCTTTTCCTCCTTTGGGTCTGTCAGTTTTGGCACCGGTAACAGCTGGATGCAGTAACATATTATTGGACCCATTTACTTGAACCCTTTCCTCATTTTCTCTTTGGTTGTCTTTTTCTAACTTAATTTGGAACTTTCAACCAGCTTCGAGCTTGTTCAAATTGATACCACAGGTTAGTATGAAATGGCATTAAGTGCAGCTTGGGCTGCTGTATTCTGCATGTATGCTGGATATGAGATGCACTACACATAGTAGGTAGTGTAAATCCAAGCCTAAGACCACACAATCAAGTCCTTTGTCTCAAATTATGATAAAGAGCAGATTAGCAAATCTCTACAATCAGCTCCAAAAATAGCTTCCTCATTAAATGATGAAGCAAGATGTGCATGCTATTTTTAGCGGAAAACTTATAGGCATCTAATACCGTGTCTGAAATTGGCTGTGGGAAGAATTTTTGGAATTTGTTAAATTAATTTGGTAACCAGTCACCTCTGTAGACGTGTATATATCTGTGATTTCTTTCTGCTTGCAATCTGTATCACTTTGGCAATAGAATATAACACCTTTTGTTTTGATCATATGCAGATTCTGGACATTTTCTTTTTGTTTACTGAGAGTTTTCCATTTCTCTTTCTTTAAGTTGCAATTCTTTATGCTCGCTGCTTGTAGATCCCATGAGTATGTTATTTTATGTAACTAGTATGAGGCTTTCCTCTGCATAGTTAACATTATTGTGATCCTGTACAGATGGTAGGCATCATATGAATCTTGTTTTTGGTGGAAATCCTCTGGGTCATGGCATGACCAGTTCACCATTGGAAGATGACCCAAGCAGCTTCAAGCTTATTCAACCTAAACACTCTTGGATAAAGTCAAATAAAGCAGGAGACGTCAATGGGCAGCTGCAATTTTCTAGCACATGTCAAACACATAATATTTCCACCCTTCACCATGACTTGAACAGGCTCTTGCCATTTAAGGGCACCACTGCCGAGGTCCTCAATCAAGGTAGCAATTTGAGGCACTTAAAAGTATGTTGAAAAAAATGAAACACAACTGCTGATTGTATTTTAGGTGACATATACTAACTCTGTTGTCTCTTTCCTGCCTGCACATTAACAAAATACGTTAAGGACCTGCTGTGGCTGTGTTTTTCTTTTAAGCTTGCATGTAGAGACCATAGTAATTAAGGTTGAGGTGCTTTCTGCTTTCCTTTTTCCGTTCTTTCTTTTTCTGGACATTGGGTTATTTATTTGTTTGTTTTTTTTTTTGGGTGGGGGGGGGGGGATTTGGGGGTTCGGGTGGGGGTTAAGAGGCTTGCCTGGATTATTTCAGCATTTGGAAGTATCATCTCTTCTTCAATGTATTTACCAAGTCTAGTTGTGGCTTCTTGGTTGCATGACCTTATACTACCACCAATAAACGGATATTTTTATCCACCAACTAAGCTTACTAAACTTTATATATTTTTAGATGATTATCTTTTGCTTAAAATTGCCTTGATTAGGTATTTCTGGAGGTTGGCATTGAGTTGATGGTTTGTTTCAAGATTTGTCATAACTTTCATGACTCTTTGGTTAGCAGAATGTGAATTTAAATTGTTCATGATAGGAGTTTACAGAGATAGCATAGCAGTTACAGAGATAGCATTAAGAATTTCTTTTTTTAGTGAATGAGGCATTTACAGAGATAGCAAAGCAGTTACCTCAAAACTCACTTCTTACTGTGAGAAGTCACGCATGCAGTGAGCGGTTTTTCCAAACGTATTTCTCAACTGCTGTTAATATCTTCTAATTCTTCCTCAAAATGAGAGCAAGCTTCTAATACTAGTCCTTGTTCTTGATAGGTGCATAGTCTAGGTTGTCAACCTTTACCCTAATTTGCATGTGTTTATCTATCAGTTTGTCATTGTGAAATAAGCTGTACACAAGAATTTTCTTCAATGATCTGTAGTTCTGTACTGTTAGTTTGATAAATTCATATGACCTTTTGCATCACTTTTTCAATAGCCAAAAATATTTCCTATATATTTATAGATCATGTATATGTTCTAAAACTGCCAAAAGTTCTCCTTTCTTTTGTGTTTTATGTGTGCACAATGAGGGGAAGATCCTATTATGGTCTTCTATTTTGTACTTTTATCCTTTGATTGATTTCTGTAGAACTGTTTAATCATAGTGTTGTGCTGCAAAGTGACTCCATGTATGCTTAGCCAACATTTTCCATATTCATGATTTTTTGTCTGTATCAGCCAAAAAAATATCATGTCCACGTTGTGCTGAAGCCCAAAAGCAGGATATCGGTGCCTGTTCAAAGCCACAGTTTTTAGCTGGTTCCTGTAATTTCACTCCTTATATTATATGTAATTGTAGCGGACTCTATCTTCAGTTAACTTTGAAGATTGTGCTTTACAGGTCTGGAAGCACCTGTTTTTGCTTCTAGTTTGGGTGGAGCACCGGATCTTCGGCGTGCTCTCTCTCTTCTGTCAAATAATTCTTGGAGTTCAGCTAACCCAGGACCAAGTTCTAATGTCAAGTTTGTGAACACTCATCCTGCAGCAAATACAATTGATTCAACTGCAGGGTTTCTGCAGGTTGAGCAGCCTATCGGACCGCAATCAACAATGTTGCCATTCAACCTGCAAAACCATAATGGTCAGTTCCAGGAGTTTCAGCTGCTCAAAGCACCCTACCAGGCTTCTTTCTTTGACTTCACACAGATCCACTGATGTCTGCGATCTGATGGTCATGGCATCGGCTTTGAATCCAATGTCAGTCTTCTACCCAGATACTTCCTGGTTTATGTGCTACAAATTCAGCATCATTCTCACTTGCTGATACTTATGTTTATCAGGTGATACTTCTGCCTGTCCAATATGTTCTCGCTGTCCTTACCGGACTGATCAACTCCAGATGCTTGCAATTTCTTACCAATAATCCTTCTGTGCCGTTGACTTTGATACCATCATCCGGTGAATGATCTTAACGTTTAGGCTTCCTTTCCCTTTCTTGCTGGAAATGCAAGCATGTCGATCTCATCGCATCTCATTCCTTGGCAAATTATTGTGTCGTCAAAGAAGCTTTCTCTGTGCACCGTCCGTTGAGAATCGGGTGCACTTTTAATAAGTGAAGTTTCTTTTGATCTATTTATGGTTACTATTACTCAATGATGATTGATACTAAATTTTCATAATTGAGCATATTTGATACTCCACTCATGTTGATGCTTTGCTACTTCTGATATAGTTTCATTCTTGATGAATGGCATTGAAATATTTTGGTCCTCCAAATCATGATGTTTTATACATGTATACATGTATACATATATATATACATGTATACATGTATATATATATATGGTTGTTATACTCTTCTAGAGTTTATATATCTTTGTGAACATTAAATGTCATAAGCCTCCCTCTTTCAGTTCAATATCATGCAGAAATAAATGGGTGCATATTGTGGATTGTAATCTATAGAGGACTAGAAAAATAACTTGAACAAAGTATATATTATAGAAAAAAAAATACTTGTGGAATCAACCAAACGTCTTTCCAAAGTCAAAGTCAAAATGTCTAATCAATTTTATAACTTGGCCCGAAGTCAACAATCAATTGCAAGGGTCAAACATAGTATAAAGAAAATAAGAAGGCGCACCGCACCGAAAGCAACGAGACGCAAAGGGGATTCAAATCACTCGCGTACTTCTCACGCGGCCGATCCATCGTTCGGCGCTACTCGACTCCCGCAACCATTCGTCGCGGTCTCCCATTAGATCACGAAGAACCGTCCGTCCGTGATCGCATCGTACGGTCTTCCCCTTTATAACACCGCGCCTTGCCTGCGTCTCCGGTTACCTTATCAAACGCCGCTCGAAAGACCTCGTTTGCTTTCGCCTCTTACCTTGCGTAGGTGCGTGCCGCTGTTCTCTTGCTCTTATTCTTCTTCTTGTGCTTCTCGATTAAGTGCACGATTCTTGCTCAATCTCTTGGCCGTAGTATTCCGGATGTTTTCACGAATTAAACCGATTAAACCGATCTCCTCCGAGAGATGTAATGGCTTCAAAAAGATGCATTTTTTGTTAGATAATGGTTCGAAAAGTTCAGAATCAGGCCGTGATTTCTTAACCTCCGTTTTACCCCTTTTCAAGTACGTCTCATCTATGATCGTTGATGAAACCCTAAGAAAAGGTTATAGTAAGTGTATTCGAAGCCCATACTGTCCCTGATCCAGTAAAGTAAATCTACTGTTCCATTGCCTGAAACTTGGATTTGAGGATGCTTCATGTCTATGAATGCTGTCCATAACATCTAATACATTGAGAATTCTTCTCGTTTGCCGTCGTCATTCCTATATGGTTGGTTCATCGCCACTAGAAGTTCGATATTTCAATGAATGCAAGATTGAATCTTTAAGCTTCGTTGCTGGTAGGAAGCTTAGAGATTTCAAGAGGGTGAAATCATGTCTGGAGGAATAGCACGCGGTCGTCTTGCTGAAGAACGCAAAGCATGGCGTAAGAATCACCCCCATGTGTGTTCTCTCTCTCTCTGCATTATTATGTTGTGGGTTTGCATTAACATTCATTTATTCTGCGTACATTCTAATGGTGCCAGTGTCGGTAGGGTTTTGTGGCCAAGCCAGAAACATCAGCAGACGGTACTGTGAACCTGATGGTATGGCATTGCATCATCCCTGGGAAGCAGGGGGTAAGTCTAATCTCTCTCTCTCTCTCTCTCTCTCTCTCTGAGCTATTTTATGTACATTTGAGCTATATATCTGAGCCAGAATTTTGTTGTTTTCTTGTAATCCCAAATCTATTTGCATTGCAGACTGATTGGGAGGGTGGCCACTATCCTCTAACGCTCCATTTCAGCGAGGACTACCCCAGTAAACCACCCAAGTGTAGATTCCCACAGGGCTTCTTCCACCCAAATGTGTATCCTTCAGGAACGGTGTGCCTCTCGATTCTCAATGAAGACAGCGTAATCTGCACGCTCTTACTCCCCCCCCTTCATTGGCGCGGCGCTACCATCAGAAACAGTGTTTTTGACCCGTTCTTTGTCATCTGCAGGGGTGGAGACCAGCCATAACGGCGAAACAAATACTAGTGGGGATACAGGACTTGCTAGATCGGCCGAACCCTGCCGATCCCGCTCAGGTCGATGGCCATCAGCTCTTTATTCAGGTCATGGCTTCTCCCAGGCCTTGTGATTGCACTCGTTGGTTTTGTGATTCTGATGTAGGAAAGCTAACAAGCCTATGAAACTTGCAGGATCTATCGGAGTACAGAAGACGTGTTCGACAGCAAGCCAAGCAGTATCCCGCTCTTATCTAGTCTTTCCGGTTCCTTGTTATCCTTCTTGCTTCTCGATATGATAATAATGTGGCGACATAACCTCCTAAATGCATATAGCCTAATATTCTATGGGTGTCTGCTGTTTAGGTTCATCGGGATTTAACGTCGAACAGGTTGAATCTGATTCCATATTTCGCCTTGCTGTTGCTGTCCATGAATTCTGATGTGTTGACACAGCTTATTCCATCACGAAAGAAAGGCACTCGTCCACGATAATTAATCGATCAAAGAACTTGAGATATTATTTTTTTCCTTTAAATGTCTTAAATTTAGCAAAGGTGATTTTGAAATTCTTTAAATGACAGAATACGTACTCATTAAAACCCGTAGGTCCGGTTCGATCCATATGCAATGCGCCGCAACAAACCCGGTTCAAGCTCGTACCCGTATAATCCCCCCACCTCAGTTTTTAGGACAACAAAATAGACTTCTCCCACCTTACTTACTCTGAATGGTCGTTGGAAGCAATGATGTCACGGGTCCCACGTGAACTCCACCGTCCACGAGGTAACCGGGTGGGTAAGTCGCAATCGGGTATGGAACTTGTTGCATAGCCTAGAGTATACCAACCCCCAAGAATAGGGGAGAAGGAAGAGTGGTCAATTGTCTCCGAGGAAGGAGAAAAATTGGAGAGCATACCTGAAACGATGGAGAGCCCCACGGCTGAGGAGTTCACCATTTGAAGGGAGAGAGCAAATTGTAGCTGAGAAAAAGGATCAACCATTCTTCTTCTTCTTCTTCCTTTCCGGCAGTCTGAAAACTGGATCAAACAATCCAAGAAGTTGAGCCACAGAGGAAGAGAAATACAAGAGAATGTATACTCACAGGAGCAGTGGGCGTCTAGAACACATGCATGTCGATGCGGCATCTCCATTGGTGGCAGTGGCCATTGACAAGGACAAAGGAAGCCAGAATGCTCTGAAATGGGCAGCAGAAAACCTTGTCACCAGAGGCCACACCCTCACCCTCATCCACGTCAACGTTAGGAGCCACTCAAGTTAGTAACACATCTTCCTCCCCACCTTTGATTCTCAAGCATGCATTCATTTTCTTGATCCGGCAAATTTTTCATGTAGTACAGCTTCGAGCCGAAAGAATGCCGGTGGTTGCATAGAACCAATGGATCATCATACAAAAGAACTCTTCCTTCCGTTTCGCTGTTTCTGCACACGTAAAAATGTGCGTACCAACTTTTATTTTGCCTGAGCTGATGGCTTATTCTGAAAAATAACATAAATGCAGTATATTTGCATGAACACTAATTTTTCTTTCATCATATTCTTGATCACTTCCATGTTGGAAAATGTATAGTTTGGCAAGTTCTAAAAATGGTGCTAACAGTTACATTACAAGGATGTGGTTCTGGGAGGTCATGATGTAGCTAAGACTATAACCGAATTCGTTTCACATGCTGCCATAGAGAAGCTGGTCGTTGGTGCTCCATCAAAGGGTGGACTTATGAGGTGATTAAGAACATATACTTGCATTTTTTTCAAATCAAAATATTTTTTGCTTGAGTGATAGCGTACCTTGTGCCGGCCTTACTCTTGTTCCTCCTCAGGAGATTCAAACATCACGATATCACCGCCAATATCACAAAGGGGGCACCTGATTTCTGCACCGTTTATGTAATAGCCAAAGGGAAAGTATCAGCCATGAAGAATGCCACACGACTAGCTCCAATTGTTTCTCCTCTTCGTGATCAAATTCAAAGCCAAGTGAGCCTCAAGCCTAATGCAATGTCTCATCACTTCTTGCTTGGTTCAGAAGGTGCATTTTGACTCCCAACTGCTCTTTTTCCCTCTCCTTCCCCCTTTTATCAGGTACCTCATTGAATAGAATAGCAAACTCTTGCAGCGACAAGCGACGTAGCTTCTGACACTCACAGCCTGCATCATGAAGATTCGATCAAGTAAGAATAGTTTAGTAATGCAAAAAACATGAAATAACTTTTCACCTAAAGAACATGCAAAAAACAGGTCGCCATATGCCAAGGTGCTGCGGGGTTCCAGCACAAAGTCATATGCGGATACTTCATTCACTGACACTGACATATCATTTGTGAGCTCGGACACTGATATATCATTTGTCAGCTCTGGAAGGCCAAGCAATGAACGTAGTTTAGCTCTAAGGTTATCAAGTGGATCAGAAGGTATTGATAACAGCTTTGAGATGGTGCGAACATCACATAAGTCGGTGGATCCATACTTAACCAGAAATGAGGGTAGTACTGGAACATCATGGTCATCACAGACCATGGTAAGCACAGTCTTGAATAAATCCTGTGACGTAAAATTCTCCTAAAAGGAAGTGTTTGATGTCAACGACTAGAGTTTCCTTTTACTTGTTTTCTAAAGCAATTCCACCTGCAGGTAACTACTATTTCAACTAAGGAACTCCATTAATTGACTTGCAGGAAGATGTAGAAGAAGAGATGAAGAGGCTGAGGCTAGAACTCAAGCATACTATGGACATGTACAACAAAGCGTGCAAAGAAGCACTCACAGCTAAACAAAAGGTTAGATACCTCCATATATTCTCAAACTTCATATTCGTTTGGCATCTGATGAGCTTTTCCCCTAAACATAATGCGCTGCAGGCGATGGAGCTCCAGCGTTGGAAAATAGAGGAGGAGAAGAGGTTATATGAAGCACATATGGCAGAGGAAGCTGCCATGGCTTCGGTGGAGAGAGAAAGAGCTAAGTGTAGGGCAGCAATAGAAGCAGCTCAAGCTGAGCACAGGCTAGCAGAGCTAGAAGCACAAAAGAGAATAGATGCAGAAATGAAAGCAATTAAAGAGGCTGAGGTGATGAAGAAAGCACTAGATTCCTTGGCACATGCAGATGTGAGGTACAGAAAGTATGCAATTGAGGAAATAGAAACTGCCACAGAGTACTTTGCAGATCATCATAAAATTGGAGAGGGTGGTTATGGTCCTGTCTATAAATGTTATCTGGATCATACGGCAGTTGCCGTTAAGGTTCTACGTCCAGATGCAGCTCAAAGCAGGTCACAGTTTCATCAAGAGGTATGCAACATAATGAAATTTGACAGGGAATGTGTGAATGGAGATTTTAACAAAACATAAGCATAATCACCAATATACCTTATAGTATTTGCCTCACAATTAATAGAATGGAAACAAGAGGGTAATGTTACAAACCAACATATTTTCTAAAATTAAATTCAAGCTTACCTTTGATTGCACAGGTTGAAATACTGAGCTGCATTAGGCATCCAAACATGGTTCTGCTTCTAGGTGCCTGCCCGGAGTATGGCTGTCTTGTGTATGAATATATGGCTAATGGAAGCTTGGAGGACCGCCTTTTCCGGAGAGGAAACACACCTGTAATTCCCTGGCAATATAGGTTTCAAATTGCTGCTGAGATTGCCACATGCCTCCTCTTCTTACACCACAAGAAGCCAGAGCCACTTGTTCACCGAGACCTCAAGCCTGGAAACATCCTTCTTGACAAATACTATGTGAGCAAGATCAGTGATGTTGGTCTAGCCCGGCTTGTTCCCCCATCAGTTGCAAACAGTGTCACACAGTACCGCATGACCTCCACAGCTGGAACATTCTACTATATTGATCCCGAGTACCAGCAGACAGGCATGCTTGGTGTGAAGTCTGACATATACTCTCTTGGAATTCTGCTGTTGCAGATTATAACAGCAAAGCCTCCCGCAGGGCTAACACGCCATGTGAGCCATTCAATTGAAAAAGGAACATTTGATGAAATGTTAGATGCAGAGGTAACTGACTGGCCAGTTGAGGAGGCTCAGCGCCTTGCTGAAATAGCACTCAAGTGCACAGAGCTGAGAAGGAAGGATCGACCAGATCTTGAAAGAGTTGTGTTGCCAGAACTAGAGAGGCTAAGATCTCTTGCAGAAGATAACATGCTTTATTCCACCATGCCAAGCAGTACTCGTAGTCATAGTCCATCCATCCATAGTCGAGTTTCCCCACAGGTTGGTTGATAATAAAACCAAAATAGATAGTGAGTGTATTCATATTAAGAAGAATTAAAGTAATGCCTGTCTACAGAACATTAAAAAAACATAGGTGTTATGTTTTCTCTAGTTGATGTATCATCTTTAAAAAACATAACTAACTGTTTGATGCATTAATTCTATAACACATTGCTATAAAACAAGGCAGCAGAACTAACCACCAAGATATGCCTCTGCAAATTGAGAAGTATAACAGGACTATCAACACTGACATGATAAAAACTGGCAAAAGGTCTAACATAAACCTTCGAAAGAGAACGATGCTACTAGTCACTAATTAGATTTAGAACAAACATGAAAAAGAGCATTGCAATCAAGCAAGCAAATTTTACAATTTGTTGTGATTTTTTAATCTGGTTTTTCCCGATTGATTTGTCTTCTTGGCCCCTCTTTTGCTCTTGAAAAAAAGGTTGAGGCTTTTATGTTTGTTCTGTGGGTGTAGTTTTTCCCTCCATAACTGGAGTATCATTTTCTTATAGCTTGCTTTTTGAGTGGCACACTGATTATTCTAGCCAAAAAAACATGAGATAAAAGGCCCTATAAGTGAACTTTTCATGATAATATATAAATAAATTAACTTGGATGAGAAAATCTTGCAAAGCAACAGAATGAGGAAGCCTGCACTAATCATCTCAATACTTTTTTGTCAGGATATTGTCAGTGATTCACTAATGACACAATCTGGTTATGAAAGTTCAAGCGAATCATCCGCAACAGGACGATGATCAAATGTTGCATGAGAAGATGGGTGATAACATGACTTATCTGTAGTTCCCACCACAATGATTAGCAAACTGCTACTTTGATAAGTGTATCAACTTTTATTTTTGGTTTGTGCAGGTAAGTTTGTGACCAAGCTGCCTAAGCTGGTCTTATATAGCCAAAGTTAGTTTCCATTAGTAGAATCAGTAAGTTCTTCAATGCAGTAGCTACAAGCAACACGTAAGACGAGTGCTTCAAGCAGAATTTGCTTGATGCAGTACAACCTCCTAAATGAGGCAGGCAGAAGTTTCAAGAAAAACTTGTGGCAACAGCCAATTAGTTTGCAGAAGCATATACTGGAATTTTTTTCTTTTTTATTTTCTAGTACCATATTTTACAAGTTTTACCAGGTTTTACAGGGAAACATTTAGTTCATAGACATCTCTGCTGAATATATTTTTTTATGCCAAGCCTTCACCAGTCAGTCAACAGCTGCTACTGTCTGAGCAAATCAACAGCTCTAGTGACAACATATTTCTGCAAACATTAATGTCTACCTTAATATTAAATGTAAAGAGTTCTTCTGAGCAAGATATTCATTTTCACTCAGATAGTAATGTTTGTAAAATTCCAAGATTCTTGAAATGACTACTTATTGTGTTGGGCAACTACAATTATCCTAGTTAAAGACACGAAAATGTTATGCTATCTTTAACCAGATGCAAGGTACACAAACTAGACTATCCCACTCCAGTCAGGAACTCTCTGTTATGCACATCCGACAAAGATCAGTTTAGTTGTTCATAGTATAAATTTCCTTACTACATACAAGACACGTCAGTATTCCTATGTGTTTTGCTAGACATGTCCCACATGATTTTGACTTGCAAATTTGGCAAAAGAATTGTCAGTACTAACACTAGCAATTTGACTGCTATAAAAAGAATGAATTCACCATTTCATTTGAACCATATTGCGATGGCAAAAATACAGAATGATAAATACCTGAGCTGTGTGCTCCTCATTTACTTGTTACATGAGTATGTGAAGCCCATGGTGATTGGTGAATTTCCACCCTCAAGCACTGAGTTAATTCACCTCATCATAGATGTTCTGGTTAACAAGTAATTATTATCTTCTAGGAGATCATTAATGCATATCTTCAATGATTCCGTAAAATGATCATGTGCTGTTTCTCCAGAGAAATTGTTAGCAGCCTTGAATATGTCTACTCCATCCTTCAGGACTCTAATTTTTATTTTCTATTAATCACATACCTGACCAGATGAAACTATTAAAGTCATATCTAATTCGTATTTTCTATTTTTGCATCTAGTTATTCCTTTAGCCTCAAAGTCATGCACTTTCTTTTGCTCTACAAAATCCTTAACTTGGATGTGCACCAGTTTTGTCAAGATAGACATTCTTGATATTTCCACATCCTAATTATCATTGCCAGTGCAATAAATTTGTAGGCTCCTTCTGGTTTTCATAGGAAAACAGGCTTACATAAGAGCTGCAATTTCATCAGCAGCCAAAACACTGAGAAATTGATTCTGCAAAGCTTTTCGAGAAGATGGCAAAACACCAAGAAAGATATTACAATGGACCCTCGTAAAGTCCATACAAACCACCTTTGACATTTTTTGATAATTGTTTTTACTCATTTGCCAAGTATTAATATTTGTCGCTCATCCTGTTCCTTCTAATACAACTAAGAGAGTTCATATGAAGCAAAGACAGCTTTTGAGACCACCAAAATTGTTTAGTCTTCTTATATACTGAGCCTTGATTCTAAGCTATTATATAAGCCTTTTTCCCAATTAAACTAAGCAACGAGTGAGGCGAACCTGCATTAAGTAAAATTCCATGTGATATAGAAGACACTGAATTTAATAGTGAAATTAAAAATAGTCAAAAAAAAGATCGGAACATCTATAATTTAGTACAAGTTGAAGTATAAAAAGACTGATACCTGCTGATAACACGTCTGTGAATCTACAAGCACAGAAAAAAAGTGTCAAAGCATTATCTTTATCACACTAGCTATGAGAATAACGTGCCATTTAAAGCATTTAATACTGCATTGTAGACATGAAAATAACAACACTTGTTCTACTTTGTAAGGCTTCAATATTCAGTTTTCTTATGTGATTTATATTTTCTCCTGACCACATTCCAAAAAAATCTCCATTGGAGGCTTCCCTCCTGTTCTACCCTTTCTTCTTCCGATTACTAATATTTTTGTACCGCGTCATAGATGTTATGGAGTTGTGAGGTCGAGCATCAAACGCAGTTGATGTGGACAGGCCAAAGCAAAAGAGGGTGAAAGGGAAATCACTCGGCGAATCGCGTGGGAAACGAGGCCATGCGCGAGTTCCCCGGGCGGAAGCGCACCGCGAAAGCTGGTCTTTTCGTCGGGCTGTGCGAGCTGCTCGCTGACGATGAGGTCTCCCGCTCGCCGACGGCGAGGTGGCCGAGGAGCGTCGGGCGGCGGCGCCGTCGGCCTCGGGATCGTGGCAGCGATGAGCGTTCCCGCCGCCCGAGGTTCGCCGGCCCGGTCCGACCCGATCCCGATGAGTTCAGCGAGGGCCGCGGCCAAGCCGAGGGAGGCGGAATCGGCGGGAAAGGAGGACGAGGAGGCGCCAGAGATCTACAAGTGCGTGATCTGGCACGTGGGAGCAAACCTCGCCTGGAAGATGGTCTACTTTGAGGAAGGCAGCCTCTTATGAGCCCTTGCCGCCGCTGCCACTGGGGCGTCCTTTAGAGCTGCTGCGTTATATTGCTTTCGTCTCTTTGCCCCTTCTTTGGAGCTCGTGAGTACATAGTTTGGCAATTTGGAGGCCATCTGATTTTTTTTTTTTTGGTTTCAAATTTAAGAATAAAAACTGTGGCAACTGATGCTTGAATCACTTTTTCCTCTAATATTGTTCCCACAAACACGTGTTTTCATGGTTGCAATTTTAAAAATAGGTTAAAAACTGACAACTATTGCATTCTCCTTTAAAGAAAAATCAACCAAACTTGTTTTAACAATTACAACAAATAATTTAAATATTAGAGAAAGAAGATGTTGCCATAACTGTTCATGTGAGAGAATCTGTCTAATGCATTCCATCAGTTGTCAAAGCTGCGGTCTGTAATAAGTTATGGTTATTTTATTCAATGTAGTATAATGGTGATTGGCGAGATCTGTTAAATATGTTTTGGCATATGTAATAGATTTAAAAATAATGGTTTTTTTTTTTCAGATGATAAAGCGAGGGCTTATCAGCAATTAGCCTAAGGGGTGGGATCAATATGTTAAAAAAGCCTACTGGCAAATGTGGTCTAACTTACAAGCAACATTTTTGTGAGCTTAGATGAATAAAAGCTTGTCATTCAGGAGTCCCTTTATTGATCAAGATTCTAGGGTATATTCACTATTTATATTTTGCAGCAAAAAATTAGCAAGTGTAATTGAAATGGTTACCTGCAATGCTAATATATGATGAGGTTCTCCAACTTGAGCTTGCAGCAGCTGTTCCTACTCCCACCTCCATTAGTGATCATGTCCCAGCCCAATTGGTTGCAAACCTGCAAGATCATGTAGGATGCACAAGTCTTGGATGGAAAAATTAGAGCTAGCTGGATGACATATGGCTCAAAGATAATGCAGCTTTATCTTGCACATACAAAAAGTACTACATTCAAATTAATAGACTACTAACTACATGTAGAACATTTAGAATCTATATTTGCAAGAACAATCTTTCCCAAGTGCATTTACATGAAAACAAACATAATTCTAGGGCCAAGAAGTCATCTACATTCAAGTATTGGTAACCAATAATTTGTACATCCATAATTCTAGTGCTGTAATACATAAGCACCAAAGGTAGATTTGATTAACAATCCACCAGCCAGCTAGGAACTCCAACTTTCTGTAAACCGCAATGCATTCCGTGCTGACCTTAAATTCACAATTATGAGCAAGAATAGTTCTCAGGTCAACGAACATGAAACTATTTTTGAAGAAATTTCAGAATAATTTCAACTTCACGTATCTTTTCAGATAGGATTTTGTGAGCACTAAAGAATGCCATTTAGTGAACATTCAATCTACCAAATGAAACTCTATACACATTAATAATATGAACTATTGTCCATGAAAATTATGAAAGCATATTGGTAACTAACAAATCCTGAACAATGTTCTCTTCATCGGTCATACAGCAAAATGTTTGGATATCTACAATATGACAAGGTTATATTTCATATGCTATATATCAAAGATAATCCATAATGCAAAACCACAACTATTCTTTGAATACGAAAGATCAAGGACTGACAAGAAACCTATGTACTCAACCAAACAGTAGCAGCAAATTTAGACAAAACACTCGAATAACAGGGAAACAATGTCCTTGTCCGCTAGAAATAAAAGGCCCATGATATGCAGTTCTTGCTGAATACATCCCTAATTGTAGTACATTAACTGCTGAGCAGATGAAAGACTGGAATAACCATCATACATTGCCTGTGACCCACCACCTGACATGAGCCCTGCAGAAGGCTGTGCAGCAAGGCCATGTTGACCAGCCATTGGTCCAGCAGCAACCTGACTCAAAGCAAGCTGACGCTGATAAGCCAAGAGCTCAGCAGCCGTAAAACCTTGGAGACCTGGTGTTGGTAGAAGCTGAAAAGGTGGCAGAGGAGGAGGTAGTGGGTTGGAAGCCGTCCCTGGGGGAGTTGGCTTAGTTCCCCAAGAACACTACAAGAGATGCCAGAATGAGACAATGTTAATGTACAGGTATAACCCAAAGCTAAACCAGATTTAGCAGAACATGAGAAACAAGTGCCTAAGTCTCTGAATTGAGGAGTTTACTTTCATTGATTTCCCACATATTATCCTTCCATTTGCCATTTGGATGGCCAAAGCAGCTTCTTCATGTGTACGATATCTGACAAATCCAAATCCTTTATCCCTCTGTATCCGCACTTCCTCAATTACACCAGCACCTAAAATATGAAATTGGCGGTGAAGCTCAACTTGTGATACCTGAGATGTCCATTGCCAGATGAATGGTATGAGGACTAAAAGTAAAACTCAACAAACTGTATGACAGTGTGGACTAAAAAGAAAAAGAGGAGCAACAAAAGTACTTGTCAGAGATATCAAAATCTACAAATTTAACGAGTTACCTCATGGGCCAGGTTACCAACATACACAGTTGTGTATGCAGGATTATTTTCAGGGGCCATTTCATTTGAATTTTCCTGGCCTCCATCTGCTACAAACAAACAATACAATGTTAACTTTCTTTAAATTGTGTAGTATATCTGCCTGTTTGTATATAATATGCTTCAGAAGATAAGTCAACTCTTACTATGGAGAAATTGGACAACAAATCGACAAACAAGAACCTATTAACCTTAAGTCTTATGCCTAGTTAGCTAGTTCACCTGGATTGCTACTTCCCTCTGTCAATACAACAGCATTCTGATTGTCACTCTGCTGTTTGTCTTCGCCAGTAGTCTTGGTTGCCCAGTTGCACCGTATTTGTCTACTTCCAAGCCATTTACCTGGATGATAGGGTTTCTATGTCAACCAAAGCAAATCTGACAAACATAAATACTGAAACGACAGAAGCACTGAGCCCAACCTTACCAGTCATATCATTGATGGCATTCTGTGCATCCTGCAAAGAACATATGGCAACTAAGGACATCTGAATTAACACTATCAGGAAGGAAGTTGCCTTTTCCATTTATGTTTTAATGATCAGTATAAGACAAGAAATTACTAAGAAACAAACAACTCCAGAACATAAAATAACACCAACACCCCTCTATCAATTAAATCTGAATTTCTGTTGATACTGTCTTATAGCTGAACTGGCAGATAATTCATAATTTATTGTGAACATCAGTGATTTATATTCAGGTCACTAAACCACTAGTGGCCAGTAATACCCGAGCAAATATTAGGAAAAGAAAATGTTCTCAAGCTGTTAGGCTAACCAACACAACTTGTTGGAAATAAATCAAAAAAAGCAAACTAAGAAAGGCAAGTCAACTTGATAGGGAAGTTGACCACAAATACATTCATAAGCAATATACCTGCTGATCGCGGAAAGAGACAAAGCCAAATCCTCTAGAGCGCCCCGTTTTGTTATCCCACATTACCCGTGCATCCCTGAACATCATAGTTAACATAAGCCACAGTAGAAAATATACCTCCAAATAACAAAAAGGAAATAATCATTGTTAAACTTAAGCTTTCTCTTCAACAGGCAACACTTGGCATGATAATTTCATTTTTATGAAGTTAAACAGTTTGTCAATATGAATCATAAGATAACACAACAGTTCAGATAATGTGAGTGACTTACGAACAACTGCTGTATACTGAGAAACAAGCAAAAAGTGTTGCATCAGTGACCTCCGAACTTAGATCTCCAACAAAAATATGGAAATGTCCTGCTCAAGACAAAAAAATATGTGAAACAGATTATAGGTAACAAGCTTCAGAGGGTGTACTGTTGAACCTACAATAGGAAATTAATAAGATGGTATATGGGAGTTTCTACCAGATGTGTCTTCCCTTTGACCACTAGCGTATGCCCAATTCACCTTAATTGCTTGACCATATCTGCAGATGTACAGATTTGAAACTAAAATTGTGGCAGATCAATTCAGCAGGGAAAAATTACGTCATGCATATTCAAGATTTCTTACAGCTGTCGCCCATGCAGTGACATGATAGCAAGAGCTGCTGACCTCCGATCATGGTAATCAACAAATCCAAACGAAGACTACAAGACAGAAAATTACATCTGAGTATTTTTAGTTAACAAACATTCTTTGTTTGCTTCACATGCTTGACCATCAGCAAGCTGCTACATGTGATCAATATAGCAATAAACAGAAGCAGATAAAAGCTACTACTTTAGAGGATATTTTATTGTCCAGGTCCATCAGAGGCAACTGAGGTCGCAAGACTTGCATATTTAGGACTCCTACATGGATTAACAAAGTAATGATCGTGTAAATTTATATTTCATTCCATCCGTATGCATAACACCATCAGACTCAACAACCAAAAGTCCTAAGCTGACACTTGAAATGACCAAGAAGTCAATAAAACACATGCAATTTAAACATCATGGATGAAGAGTTCTTTATCATATCCTTGATTTCAGCCTAAGTCCCAAGAGTCAATTAAGGTTAACTGTCTGTTGAATAAAGTAGAACTAAGTCCCAAGAGACATTATGAATAATGTCTCTGGGTGTAATGTCAAGACAGGGAGGAGTCCCTTGTTCCAGGACTATCATGCATACTATGTGTAGCCATCTGAAGTGCGATAAGAAGTTTAAAATATTGGTGTTAACTGTTTACCAGTATCCACCTTAAAAGACAAGGTTGAACACAATGAGTGATAGCATCATGAGTCAGCATTTGACTCGATTCTTATGAATAAAAAGGGTAGTGAACTGTTAGAAGGATGAGAGCCATGATAATGATAATTTATCTAATGTTTCTTAATCTATCTAAGAATTTCTCTTGACAATCAACCAATACATACCAGCATGCACCTAATCATGTGCCAAGGCAAGTTGATAAGCTAAGTTGCGCCCAAGATGTCGCTTATGCACCATGCTGTATTAAAACTTTCAATATTTGGCATTAATATGGTGTAAAATGCACCTGCTAGGGCCTGCAAGCACCAAAGAGTTATGGTCATTGGACATGCAGGATGATATGAACCACCACCTATAAATCGGCCCTAGAAAATGGTCATTGGATTTGTATTGTTATGTTTTTTAATATATTTTCTTTCTGTTTTTATTTTCTATTTTAGGTCAAGTTTAGAGTCATATTTTGAGTTGTATTCTTATCATTTAATTCTTATGTTACTCGTAGGGAAGGTCAGGAAAATCTTACACTATTAGGGGTCACGGTTAGAGAGCTCCAGATGTGATTTTAGAAAACATTTTGTGAGGTTCCAAAATTTCCAAAAAAAAAAAAGGAAACTCCTTGTATATCTTAAGTACAGCATATTGTAAGCCTACATTGTACATCATGAAAATGGTAATCTTTTTTTATGCAATAATATAAATTCCTTAGTTGCATTAATTACCTTTTTTCTTCTTGTTTCCTAGGATGCCTGCTCTCCTCAAATTGGAGAGAGTCTTACAGGAGAGGCATATATAATCAATTGGTACTAGAGTGAAGAAATCTTCTATCACAAACTTCTCCACAACGATGTCTACAAAGTCCATGGAGTTCTACACAGCAACCTGTCATTTCCTCTACATATTAGATGCCACCTACAAACAGATCATATCCATACTACAGATATCTCGAGTAAAATGGTTCAGTTTGTGAATTATTTTTTAAGTATCTTCCAGAATCATAGTGCCTTGAGGCAATTTTTTCATATACCTCCATATGAAACAGCTCCAAGTATTTTTCTGGGCTCCCTTTTGTGACCAATAAGTCCCCCAAATAACTATACTAATAGCTAGGGACTATTAGTATAGTGCACCCAACTAATATTGTACAATTTCTACACAGTACAAATGTATACTTTCAGGAGTATCTAATAGAAATCACTGACAAAGAAGCTATCTTCAGTTTCAGATAAAATTAACCTAAAAATATATATATGAATCTGACTTTTTGTCATTGTTTTCCATTTAGTAACAGTAAAACAGTAGTAACACATATGAAAAAGCGAATACAGAGTAAAATACTAGAGAAGAAATGGCAAAGGGGGCCTTCAGCTACCTTCTGTGCATCAAAATAATATGTGAATCTTGTTCAGCAGAACCCAGCTATTTAAAGAGATGTAACCATGCAAACATGTTGCCCTTTTCTATGACTTTTTTAGATAGCTAATAAGGAAAGTAATAGCTATATATTTCCATCCAGACCTAATTGCTAAAGAGATTCCACTAAAAGAAAAGTAAATCCATCAATAAGATCCAATTCTAACTCAAAGATTTCCAAATCTAGCTCAATTCATTGACCAACAAATATAGTCAAACAACCCTCGATAGGTCAAAAACCTAGTTTGAACTGAAATGGTAAACAAGATAATTTTAAGAAGCTGGCTTAGAGTGATCAAATATGTCACTGGATCCAAACATAGGTTGAACCCATCATTTTACAGGTCTAAATATCTTATTAACTAAAGTAGACAACAATATAGTGCAGGTTACAAGTTAACTATCTGTTCAACATGACAATTGCATACCGACGACTATGAGCATGATTTTGAATTTTCACTCAGAAATAAGTGATGCAGAAATAACAAGACTTTGTGACTTCAGTAAACATTAAGATTCAGTGGTATCTGCAAGAGCACAGATGATGGCTTGTTGTCTTTGGGATAACTGCTCTGAGAGTTTTGATCCAGAAATGAACCTTTTCTTTTCTGATGAGTTTGCATCCTTCAAGTGGACCAAAACTTTGAAAAACTTCAGCCAGTAGGCTCTCTGTTACATTTGGATGGATATTTCCCACATACCTAATAATTGCAATCAGAAAATCAGTAATGAAGTTAAAGTAGCTCCAACTACATGGAACAATTATGAATATTAAGAATAAATAACATCCATGTATTTAACAATAAAGTCCTAGAGCACAAAAATGTTTATTAAGAAGAAATGGGAACTCATGACAGACGAGACAAGTACTCTGGATATGATCATCAACTCCATTCTATACAGTGCACAATTACTATTATAATGGCATTCCTATGTCATGTTTGTAGCAAGTGGCTCTGGAAAATGAATGGAAAAGAAAGAAGTGCAAACGGGGAAAGAAAAAAAACAAACAAACTATACACTCACACACTGCGGCATGTAGATGGATCAAAACCAGGGGGAAGATTTCCACTTGGAACAGGCTCCATCTGCAAAATATGAAAGGCAAAAAGAACATGAAAAAGAAAAAACCTAGAGAATCTATACACTATGTTTAGGAAATTGAGAAATAAAAGAAAACCCTATAACATTCTAACATGGTGATCCAATGTCAAACCCACTTATCCAATCAAAACCTAATAAAGGGCTAAATTTAAGATGTGAAATCACTTGAAGCAAATAATGAAATCCCTGCTAAACACTCTGGTCATTGGTTATTGTGATTCAAATGATAACAGAAGGTATAGCAAAAGAAGGCAACTGGTGAAAGAAAACAATAGTATCAAAGTAAAAAAATTACTAGACGCTTAGGAAGTTTAAGCAGGCATCAATAGTCAAGCAACAATATAGAATGCACGGCCCAAAGAAAAATAACCAACTAAAATATTAAGGAAGCATGTTTCTTAAGATACTTGTCCAACAAACATGTTTAAGCACGTTATATAACTAAAAACATGTTTTACCGAACCATACAGAATGAAGAACAGAGACTAACAAGAAACCTCTTCCCATGAGAAAAAGTTGCAGTCTGTTATCCGTCTATTCCTTGTTCACTTTTCATAATAACATAGATTACAATGCACACGTAAGATTGCCCTATCGCAATTTGGATGACCATAGTTCATGTTATAAAGATGACCTCCTTACTTGTAAGGGTAAGGCTGAGCATATCGACACTCCCTAGACCCCATGTTGATGGAAGCCTCTTTTGACTAGAATTCATAAAACAATCAGGGATAACCCGATCTAGAAGCCACGCACAAACCTAGCAAGCGTGATTCTCTAGGCAAGAAAGAACAAGAAATGCCATTAAGTTCGCCGCTACAAAAGCATTAAGGAGACAGAAGTGATCAAAAGTAGTCAAGAGAGGAAGCCAGAGGGACTCCCACCTGAGACATGGCAGCGGCTAAGACCCCGGAGTGGTAGAGCTGCTGCTGCTGGAGCATCGCCTGCTGCATCAGCGCCTGCTGCTGCTGCTGGAGCTTCAACCTCTGATTCATCTTCTTCAGCGAGCGATCCAACCAGATCGGACCCGGAAAAAGGGGGAAAAAACACCAAAGATGGCGGATCGGAGAGGATCAAAGGCGGATGAGGAAGCAAGAAGAACACCGGGGGAGCGATCGACGATCGCCGGATCGGAGGGGATCAAAGGGGCGAGAGGGCAACGAAACCAATCTCTTTCGCTTCTCTCTCTTCGGCCTTCTTTCTTGGCTTCTTTCGTGACTCTCTTTCCACGCCGCGAAGAGCGAGAAAAAGAGACGAACCGAGTCGTGAATACCCGATGGCAGATCGTTGGTACGCTAAAAAAAACCATGAATGGGAGGGAAATATTAAGGCATCATTGTACCTCTTTTCTATATATATATATATATATATATATATATATATATATATATATATATATATCGTGCATGTTTGTGTCATCTAATATAATGTATATATATATATACACACAATATCATCTAATATAATGCATGTGTTTGTGTCACTTTAACACCATCTCGGTAACGAGACTTGAATTTATCTGGTACTATATATTAAGTTCATTTAATGAAACTTGTTATGAGATGGGATGATCAGCATTTCTACATCGAGAGGTAGTATCACTATTTGAAATATGTACTGAAAAGCTAGAAATTATGCTGAAAGCAGGAACGGTTCAGTAACCATTTCTCTCTTATAACCATTCTGAATGGGAACTGTTTCTGTTTTCAGCATAGTTTCCAGATTAATATGGATTAAGCATGAGTATATATTATCTTTTGTAATTAGTTACTTTAGTATCCGATATTTATATTTTTAAAAATTATATTAAAATTTTTATATTTATAAAAATATAATATTTAATATCATTTTTTCTCACGTCGATTATGTTAACGAAAATACGGTACGTGTTCAACGGTAAACTAAAATGAGATAAAATCAACATATGTTCAGTGATAAACTTTATAATATATTTTTGTCAACAGAGTTCACAATGAGACGAGAAATAAGATTAAATATTTTTTATTATTTATAAATATAAAAATCTTAATATAATTTTTTTAAGTATAAATATCAATATGTTAAATATAACTAATTATATGAGATAATTAGCCCATATCGAGCAAGTTATCCTTTGATATAATAGATAAATCACTGATAAACATATTTAGCATTTAGTAATAGTCATAACTAAATGCCTTACCAAGCTATATGATTATAGGAATTATTATCAAGTTCTTCGTATTATATTATTAATTAATATTAGTGATGAGGATAGTAATTATGATAAGACTCGGTTAACGTCATATGACGCCTCACGCAATAGCACCTGGTCAATACAGATCGAAACGCCAACCGAGGTGCATTAACATCCTGCCAAAGCTTAATTTTTTACGTCGCGCCAACACAAAGTCAGACGCTACCAGCCTGCCCCCTGCAAGCGGGCAGCTCAGGAAGCAGTAAGCTTACCTATAAATACCCTCTCGTTCATAAGAGAGAGGGAGGGAGGGACAGACACACAAAACACTTCTTCATCTGAAACCCCCTCCACATCTGCTAACCTGATCGTCGGAGGGGTCGGGCCGAGGCTCGGCCCGACCTTTGTGCAGGTGAGAAGCCGAATGTCCCCTCCGGACACGCAGGCGAGGAGTTCTTGCCCGGAGGAGACGGCTACACCGTCCCGATCGGACACCGCACTCGACCGCCTCAGCGGGCTCGAGGAACGCCATAGAGAGATCCCCGTCGTCCGGACCCGAACCGAGCCGCGTCGGCCCCGAGGCCATGGCTCAAAGTTGTTTCCCACAACAATTAGTGTTGAAGTTGATTGGCTCTTTATCATTCTTGAGAATTAAGTGACTCAAATCTTGACTTGAAGATCTCCGGTGATTAGAAGAGTCTTGATGTTAACTAGAGGAGAGTTAACCCTAATGTTTTTATCCTTGAAAGAAACTTATATCGAATATTCTGACACCGAAATCAATAAATAATCAATAGGTATTTAAAATAATCAAAGTGGTTTAAAATTATTTTTCATTCTAGATTATGAATATTGATTGCATTTATTTTTACAAAAAAATCAAAATTACCACATATAAACAAGTGTCTTGGATAACATTTTTTGTTGTTATCTTCTATCTTTTTTTTATTATGTCTTTCTATAATCGAAAAACAAAATCATTGATATTCAACTCCTATATTTATTTTTTTATAATTACTATTTAATTAAAAATATTTATACAATATCCATTTCTTATTCGGATATTAAGACTCACAAATATACTTAGGAACTTTTAACTTTTGAAATGGGCCCCACCCCCGGTTACTGATGTGGCGGCTCACAATGGCTCGGTACTCATCTGACACCACAGAATTCTCCAACGAGCAATACGGCGCAGGAAGTCGTTACCGACGCAGAAGGATCAAACGATCGAACAACGCGTGCAATCAATCAATCCGTGCACACGAGTGCATCCGATGAGATCGTGCTCGTGCGACGAGTCTCACCAACCCCATTCGTGTGGCCGTGTGCCCCACCCATCCATCCGTATCCTATACAGACGGGTATCATTAAAGTCCCAACCATCGCAATCGAACACATGTTAGTGGACATCATTTCAGCTAACCCAGCGTTACAGAACCAGCGAAGGAGTCAAACCCACATACCAAAACCATGGACGCCAACAGAGCCATCGCAATCGACCAAACACACTTGTTTTTGTTTTCTTCTGCCAAATTATCGCACGCCTTCTTTTTCCCCGGTGATCATTTACTATTTCTTTGTGGAGTCAAACTGCATGCTTCCCCGTTGGTCGAGTCAAAGAAGGCCAGCTTATTCTTTTCCCCTATAGTAATTAACTTTGAAGGTTTTCAATAATGATCAATGTTAGTATAATATGAATGAATCATTTACTTGTACTTTGGGCACTCTGTGATTCCAGGAATCCTTTCACCACCAAAAAGAAGGGTCAGATATATGATTCCGAAGGGCTAAAGGGAAGTCAAGGAAATGACACGTCCCACCAACCCTGTCTCTCCTACCAACTCTGTTGACGTCCTAATGTCCATCTTCACTCTTTCTCCTACCTCGTTTCGCTCGGCAGCCCATCGATTACCCCACCGAACCACCACTGCTTCCTTCGCGTATAAATCAGCGTCCGCTCTCCCTCCTTTGCATCCAACGAGCACTGGCAACAGGAAGGAAGCCAACGACCATCGCCATGGCTGCCTCCACCGGAAAGTTGGCCATGCTCACCCTTGCGGCAGTTGCCTGCACGTACGCTGCCAAGCATCTGTTCCCTGGTCAATCTCCCTTCCTTCTCTCTCTTCCTCTCCTCCTCTTCTTTCTCCCCTTCGTATTCTCCCGCTCCGGCTCCAATGGCGCCCCTCCCGGCCCCGTCTCCTTCCCTATCTTTGGAAACTGGCTACAGGTCGGCAATGACCTCAACCACCGGAACCTCGTGAACATGGCGAAGAAGTACGGTAACGTGTTCCTGCTGCGGCTCGGGGTGCGTAACCTGGTGGTCGTCTCCGACCCCAAGCTGGCCACCGAGGTCCTCCACACGCAAGGGGTGGAGTTCGGCTCCCGGCCACGCAACGTGGTGTGGGACATCTTCACCGACAGCGGCAAGGACATGGTGTTCACCGAGTACGGCGACCACTGGCGCAGGATGCGCCGGATCATGACGCTGCCCTTCTTCACGAACAAGGTGGTGCAGCAGTACAGGGGGATGTGGGAGGAGGAGATGGATATGGTGCTGCGGGACCTCCGCGGGGACCGGGCGGCGCAGTCGGAGGGGATCGTCGTCCGCCGCCGGCTGCAGCTGATGCTCTACAACATCATGTACCGGATGATGTTCGACGCCCGGTTCGAGTCGGTGTCGGACCCGCTGTTCCAGCAGGCGACGCGGTTCAACTCGGAGAGGAGCCGACTGGCGCAGAGCTTCGAGTACAACTACGGTGACTTCATCCCCATCCTCAGGCCCTTCCTGAGAAGCTACTTGAACAAGTGCAGGGACTTGCAGAGCAGGAGACTGGCCTTCTTCAACAACAACTATGTGGAGAAAAGAAGGTATACAATACGCACACAATCCATCCTTGAATCGAGAATGATGCTTTCGTGTCCCCGTCGCTGGAGATTCCAATATCTTATCTTTCTACAGAAAACTGATGGCCGAAAGAGAAGGGGACAGACTCAGATGCGCCATGGATTACATACTAGAAGCAGAGATGAACGGAGAAATCAGCTCGGATAACGTGATATACATCGTGGAGAACATAAATGTTGCAGCCATCGAGACCACCTTGTGGTCGATGGAATGGGCGATAGCCGAACTGGTGAACCATCCCAACGCCCAGACAAGGCTCAGGAAGGAGCTCCGTGACGTGCTCGGCGATGAACCGGTGACGGAGACGAACCTGCACAGGCTGCCATACCTGCAAGCGGTCGTCAAGGAAACTCTCAGGCTGCACTCGCCCATCCCCCTGCTCGTCCCCCACATGAACCTTGAGGAAGCCAAGCTCGGGGGATACGACATCCCGAAGCGAACGAAGGTGATAGTGAACGCGTGGTGGCTGGGGAACAACCCCGAGTGGTGGAACAAGCCGGAGGAGTTCAGGCCGGAGCGGTTCTTGGACGAGGAGACGGAGGTGGAAGCGCTGGTGGGCGGAAAGGTGGACTTCAGGTTCCTTCCCTTCGGCGTCGGCCGGCGGAGCTGCCCCGGGATCATACTGGCGCTGCCGTTGCTGGGGCTCATCGTCGGGAAACTGGTCAAGGAGTTCGAGATGGTGCCGCCGCCGGGGACCGACAAGATCGACGTGACCGAGAAAGGAGGCCAGTTCAGCCTGCAGATCGCGGAGCACTCCACTATTGCCTTCCATCCGATTGCACCATGAGAGATCTAATAAGCTCGGGAGACTGTGTCCTCCTTCCCATTATGCATCGTGTTCTTCTTGGGTTTGATATGTTTCTTTCTCTACACACTTCTTCTGCAACCTGTGATTGCAAAAAGCTGTGGTCGAAATGAAGTTACAGGTGAAAATAATACCTTTACATGGTTATACACAGATCATACATCAATTCATCCTTACAATCTTACATCGAATTCATGACTTTTTTGCGGCGTTCTAAGGGAAGGAAGAACAGAGGGGCACTCCACAGCTTTCTCCGGTCACTTGTTGACTCGTTTATTAAATGCTTTCCATTCATTTGACTTCTGACATCTCTCTCTCTCTCTCTCTCTCTCTCTCTATATATATATATATATATATACGGAATAACAGAAAATAAGAGACAAATAACAAATTCGATGAACCCAAGCCACGTTTTCGCACGACGATTCGTCCTCAAAATATCCCGTCATAAAATAACGACCTGATTCGATATCTTGAGCCGTTCTTCTCCCTTTCTATCAGCAGAGAAGAAGGGCGACGTTGGAAAGAGAGCGAGAGAGAGAGGAGCTGCAATGGCCGCCACCGCAAACGCTTCTTCTCTCCACAACGTCTTCGTCTACGGCACTCTGATGGCGGACGAGGTGGTGCGAACCATCCTCAAGCGCGTGCCCCCCGCCTCTCCCGCCGTCCTCAACGATTAGTAAACATCTCTTCTTCTTCTTCTTCTTCCCCCTTCTCTCTCTATCGATTCGATTCTGTTGTGCTTTCGATCGCGCTCTTCGATGTTCTTTGCGCTCTGATGGATCGTTTTCCCGATGTTTGGAGGGCTGTTGCGGCTGGATTACAGGCTTTTTCAATCCGATCTGTATGCACAAGTGAGAGAAAGCGTAGCACACTAAACCTTTTTGTTTCTCCATGTATCAATTGGATTCGTTTCTTTTCTTGTTGTCGATGCATCATATGGCTCCTCGATCGGATCTAAATCGCCACTTTCGAGCAGTTGTTGCAATCATATCGCTAGGAACATGTTCGAAGAATCACCAAGTCCATGGAATTACTACAGATAGGTTGTTCTAGTGTAGCTGAAGCGTTATTAGCGTATCATGCACACATTCCAAACCCAGATGACTTGTTCTCGATTTCGAGTTACAAGTGATTTGCTACTAATATGAGATTTGATTTTGTAGCCACAGGTTTAGCATCAAGGGGCGTGTTTACCCAGCAATTCTGCCGGTTGAAAGTAAGAAGGTGAAAGGCAGGGTGTGTTATTTAACCCTGCTTTACCTAATGCTTCTAATTTATAATCTTATTCTCCTGGTGATGTTGCTTACATGACACCTGGGATAGTGATTCTATTTGCCCCTGAAGCAATTAACTCGTCACTGACTTTGAATTTTTAATCAACTTCGTCTTTTTGTTTAGGATTTTTCCTTATCAATGTTCTTTGTGCACCATTGACAATTTGATATTTCATGTAAATACCAAAATAAATCATCACAATTTTGAGTTATAAATTACATATAATCGGTTTATATTTGGAGCGATTCATATCCTAGGTAATATAGCTTGCAAAGAAGTGTTTGTTCTCGAAATCTCTCTGTGGGCATCAACACAACAAGGCCCATCAAATACAGATGCTTCTTCTGATTCATATTACTGGAAATACCATTGAAGTTTAGCATTCTTTTTATCTTCGATTTGTTGGAATTGATAGTAGTTAATATATGCATGTAATTTGTTTGAAGTTAAAGATACTCTTTACTAAGGTTCGTTGTATCGTACCATACCGACGTTTCGACCCGGGCTCGGTACAGTACGGTATCGGTGTATCGGGCGGTACATCAGGGCGTACCGAGCGATACACCCTGATGTACCAAATAATTTTTTACTTTTTCATACTGTAGCAGTGCTACAGTATAGTACTATAGCATTGTACCAATATCGGACGGTCTGCATACCGGTACGTACTGCCCGATATGGGCGGTACGTTTCAGTATGACAGATCTTGCTCTTTACCTTGAATGAGTATGTAAGTATACTTTGAGTTCGCACCTCAAAAATGCTTTTACTATGTTGTAACAGTTTGATCCACTTGAAAGAAAAAAGAAAATTATGTTTTTGATTTATTTAAGATTTCAACATGAACTATGAAACATCATGTATCTTAGATTTACCAATGATATCAATGTGAAAACTACAATTTTCAGAAAGGGTTTATGTTTGATTATACTTTTGCCAGGTAAGTTGTTAGAAAATCTTGTGTGTGAATATCCGGGTACATCATACACAAGATGATTCCAATTAGGTTGAAAATACTAGGGAAACAATCAGAAGGCAGCTCAAACTCCGTAGGAAATTGGTTATCCTTCCGAAGATCTGTCTTTCATCTGAGGACTGTTAAAAGGGGTCTGATTGGTCAATTTGGCATCCTAAATCCTGGGGAAAACATGCTAATTAGGACCATATATTGTCAAAGAAAAAAATATGAGGGAAGGTGAATGCTCATTGGATTTTGTTTCTTCTTACCTACTGAAACAGATTCTTCCTAAGAAATTTCCCTGTAATCATTGAACTTATTACAGATTTTTTTTACTCACTTCATGGGTGATAAATGATATGATTATAAAGATCTCTGATGTCTTTGCTGCATAACTGATAATTGAGCAACGGACCTTTTTATATAGGTTCTTTTGGGGATTACAGATCAGGAGTTGGATAAACTGGATTCATTTGAAGATGTGGAATATGAAAGGAGAACTGTTGAAATTTCTCTGCTAGTAAGTGTGTTTGTATAACATAATCTAGTTCATTTGAACATCATAATATAACCTAGTTCATTTGTTTATCTAATGACAGTTGCGTATAATTTTTAATTAAGCATGATATATTATACAACTTGGAGGGGGTAAATATTTTGTACTTTGCTATATGTAAACCTCAGCTGGTTTAACCCGAGTGGCTTAGTTAGCAGCTTACTCTGATTCTACAATTTATGGGTCTAGTGGTTTTATATTGTTAATGCATGAAGCATTCATTTCTGATAGACATGCGTTTATACTGTCTTTATAATTTGTTTTTTGCCAATAACTTTTTGAAGTGCCAGCCTCATTTACTGCTGCAAGCATTTTGAGCCCTTAGAATTGTCCTGTGACCTTGTAGTACGACATTGAGATATATTGATACTGCTTTTCTACAAAAACCTTGAAATATCTGTGTCTAATCCCCGTAATATCAAATCCTGTCCAATGTACTTTGGATACAAACTAATGCACATTTTAATAAGCAATATTTTGATTGGCGGGAGATAGTTCTTGTACTCGACAAAAGAATGATAATTTGATGTTGCAGGACAAGTCAGAGAAATTACTTGCTAATGCATATGTTTGGAGTGACAAGAATGACCCAAACCTGTACAGTGAATGGGATTTCGAGGTGAGCACTCTTCTCCTTTGCACTTATAATATCTGATTGACTTCGGGGAAATAAACATGCAAAATCGTGTGCTGAAGTTGTCTTTCTGCACACAAGCATGCAAATACACACATATAATGTGACATCCTCTTTATCAGTCATGTTCGCCTTCATCTAATTTGGGACTTCATTGATTCTTCTTCCTAACTTGAACATTGTTTCATATGTTCGAAATGTCCTACTCGAAAACATTGCATGGTTATATTTATGATCAACAAAATAGATGTAGAGTTATAGTAGCTAGCTGAAGTATTACTCGAAGATTGGTTAGATGTAACAAAAATCCAGGGGCTTCTGCTCCTATCTGGTTTTGCCGATGCAGATATTAATGATGGCGCCGATAGGCCACCTTGGCATGTTGGCTGGAAGACTCCAACTGATTTCAAAAGATAAATAGATTGCACGTGTGATGAATAGTCAAATTCTTGATTTTTTTATGCTGACCGTACCATGCTTTGTCAAAAAAAAAAGTTGATGTCAATTGAGGCTAGAGCAACCTGTAGGTGTCGTCGATTAAGTGAGGTGTACCTTTAATAGAGGATAAAATAAGAAAGAATCATTACATATGCTAACAAGACTTACTGATATTGTAGTTAGAATATATAAAAAAATTAATAAGAGATAAAGGAAAACTAAAAAGATTTTATTAAAATTTATAAGTAAAGATCTAAATATTTTTAATTTAACTAATATTTTTTTTTTTTTTTACGGTAGTTCGGTAACGACAAAAGATGCATGTAGTTGATCTCGAATAGTTGAATATATGTTATGGCATAAGAGTTATCAAGATATCGGTGCCAATGAACCTCCATTTGCTTTTCGTGTTCCTATCTAAAAATTAGATTATTAAAGTCGAAATATTTTCTTTCTTGCAATATTTTAAACTACTCATGAAGCGTTTGCGTAGCGATTGGACAATTAATCTTCTTACTTTGGAACGTTCTTGTTTTGTGCAGGAATGGAAGCGTTTGCACAAGAAAGATTTTGTTACAATGACATTGGGTTTTATGGACGATTTGGAGCAGCCTGATTCGAAGACCAGGGTGGCTACATATGAATCCTATTTCCATCAAGGTCAAAGCGCGTGAGGATTATATTCATTGTTTCAAAAGAAATAAGAAACTTATTGGTTAGTAATCTATATCTAGTGATATATGTTCAAATAATTAAAAAGTTACTATTTGTTTATTCTGCATCTGCTTAGACTCTGTTATTGAAGTAGTTTTTTATTAGGTTTGGCATGACTTGGCAAACATTTTTGGAGGGTTTCCTTGGTTGTGAGATCATAAGATGCATCAATCTGTACGGATAATTACGATGGAAGACTAAATCTTATTCAGATCATATAACCTATGAAATTGTTTGCTTGGTGGAAATTGCACTTAGAACTTAGACCACTGTTGCACGAGGCCTGGGATTTAGCATCATTTGTTGTTACGTTGGTTTTTTTTTATCAGGTTTGACTTTTGAACCTGTCGCGGTTTGACCAGGGATAACTGACCTATTGTGATAAGTCTGAATCACAAATCATTAAGCCCGATGTTATGATCGTAGTCATTTTAGACCTTCAATTGACCTACCCATAGGGGTGTCGCATCCTTGAAGTCCAAATACAGCATAAAATCATCCTATGCTGATATCATTTACCACAATCGACCCAATGGGATAATTAACTCTTTGATAGACTTAACAATAATCTAAACTACTTGAGCACAAGTTTAGTGGTAGCAAACTCTTTCTACCGCTATAGCCCAATCTAATACAAAGACTACACCTGAGCCTGTCAAAAGAAACACTCTTAAACTTCTGAATTAAATCTCAATATTGCACCAAGTCGGCAACATTGAGATTCGATCAGTTTCTTCTCTTTGAATCACCCATCTCCCTTCAGGCTAACAAACAGATATCTATCGAACAAGTGCAACGAGTCACAACAACAGGAGGCAGTAAGTTATAATCGCACCGAAAACACATGCAGCAATGCACATGCAAAATGCTCCATTTAACTTTTCATACCCAAGGAAATCACTTGGTTTCTCCAGTCGTCTATTGTGATGCTACTTGCTACACATGTCCATAGTAGAAAAATATGAAAGCTTTTCACTATCATAAAGTGTGGAACATTCATCGGAAGTAGAAAACCTACGGCAATAAGAGACTGCAGCTCCTGAATGGAGACTGCCAATTCCCTTGATTTGGATAATTCACTACCACAATCTCTCATCTCCATTAGAGACAAGATGGGTGGCTTTTCCAACCCGGTGCAGCTACTCTTGCTTTTACATATTGGACTCTCATGGTCAGTTGAATTCTAAATTTCACATCACTCTTTGAACAAGATTAGGCAAAAGGGCTGGCAAGTAAAAGGAATTGACCTTGTCTAACGAGAGTGTCGAAATCAGTTTTGCTGCATGACCCGCTGTGTCATTCAAAATGATCATATGATCCTGCAGAGGGGTTGCCTGAGTTCTGGTCACACTGGCCCCTCCAGGCGTTTCCACCATCTGAACTGCTGCAAGCCTGATTCGGGAGGCTGTTGTTTCCCAAGTCAACATCCAAGCTCATCTGTTGGACTTCTTGCGGGGACAATATCTTGATGCACCGAACACAGCTTACAAACTCCCTGTACGTTTGTAGTAGTCATGCTTTGTTAGAACTGAGTTGGATCTTATGATTATTTAGTAATTAATCAACAGCATCACAGCAAAAGATATAAAGAAAATTGCATAAGAATATAAGTATAATGTTTTTGCTCTTCTTTCTGCTTACATTTAAGGAATAAATTGCATATGATTATTTAATTGTTCTTATGCATCACCTTACTCTTAAACCTAAATTCACTGTCTTATTCATAAATAATTAGATATTCTATTTGGTTGAACACTTGGATCACTAATAGGACTTTTGTCCATTTGAAAGCACTATATACTTTGATTATCATTACATAAAAGTTGGGGAAAAGCACAGATATCCAATTATTCCAGGAAGTATTGGATATTTTTCTGGATGATTATAAATTCTCACAGGTATGTATATTTACTTCAAATATCCTGAAGTCCTAGATAATATTATCATTTCTTCCTTGGGAGATACAAAATTATGAGTATTTAAACCTTGATTGGATATCAGTTTTTACAATCTGCTGGATCGGTATAGTATATGAGCGGCATTACTGACCTATGCTGCCCAATACCATCCAAAAATAATAATAAAATAATGCCAACCAATGGACGATATGGCCAGATACCATCGGTCTGTGGTTGGATTGGTATATATCCATCAATATACACTATACTGACCGATATTCATATCCATGCTTAATAACATGGTAGAACTTACATGGGTTGTGCCATCACTTTGTACGTCTAGGAGAAAAAAGGGGGAACACAAATATTATACTTAGAAAGTGCTTCCACCAGAAGGGACAACAGAAGTGCCAGATACTTGTGCATTAATGTCATTTCTTTAATTTTTAACAACCCTAAAGAGTGGTTTCAACCACTGGTCAGATCAATAAGTGCCACTACCAAATGCTACTTATTAAACCAACCAATGACTGGTAGCAGACCGACCATATGGTCTGGTATCGATCTTTTTTTTCTTCTCGATGAAAGCAGATGGTACAGACCAGTATACGCCTGATATGTTTGTCATTGAGTTGTGTCAAAATGGCATCTAAATCATGCTAGAGAATAATGGAATTTTCTTCTACCCATGAAAAAAAGACTGAACAAAGACTGAATATAATGCTTAAATTAATGTTATAACTTACTCCCATGGGTCATCTCCAACAAGTAGAACATCATTCTCGTGATCTACATAAACCAGCTTCCAGCCGATTCTCTGCCGATCTTCCAGCTGTCCCTCTATGCTGAACATTCGTGCAAGATCATGTTTCAGCTCATCATAACCTGAATATCGTGTGATATCCATAGATCTGCCAACAGCTCCACGTTTGTACACCTGTAAACAATATTGCAAATCAAATTATGAAAGAAGAAGATAAATTAAACTCGTCTGTCCCATTACGAAAGAAGATAAAGTTTCCATATTATTTAGCAGACAAATTAAACGATCACATGTTAATGCTCAAAGAAACAAATGTATAGATTCCAAAATTGAAGCCATAAACCTTGGTGTAAGTGCGCATGCGTTGAATTGTCGGAGGCGGTGCTGGGGCCCAGGAGTTCCTATTTAGTAAACCATTTTCATTAATTGTTGAATCCATAGAATTAAATGCCACATCAGGAACTCCAAATGATTGTGAAACCATGGATGATGACAGCTCTTGTTGAGCATCCTTTGAGGTACTGTAATTGGCTACTGCATCTCCAGGGATATGATTCTGAAACTTTCCTGAATCAATGTTATTAACCAGCAAAGCATCAGCAGTCAAAGGTATTCCCATTGAACCATCAATGTTAACTCCAAAAAGGACATTATTTCTTGGATCTGTGCCAGGAATATCACTCTCTGGAGGTGCATATCTAAGCATTGATGGCTGATTGAATGAAAGGAGAGGTAAGGCTTGATTTAAAGACCCATCAGTGTGAGATAGGCACACAGAAGTCGCCGAGGAGGTAGTGTCCAAGTAATCCATTTGAGCTGTGTTGCTTAGATATGTCTGAGGGGCTACAAGTCCCTGATTTTGCACCTTGGGAATTGGGATTGAGGGCTTTACATTATGTACAACTTTTGGAAGCTCCTTGGAGATGTTGGGATTTACGGTGGCAGCTTCAAAGGAGCTTGGGTTGAGCATTGTAATAACTGACTGAGATGTCTTTTCTGTTGAAATGAGATTGTGGTGCCCGTTCCTATTCAGGATTGAATGAGGAAGAATTGATCCATTGTTTGCTGAAGGCGATGTGGAACAAGATGGGATGTCATCTGTAACTCCCGACTGTGTCCCCCCAGCAGCTAGCAAAGAGCTGCCACTAGCTGGGATAAGATTAGTTACTGGTGTGGTGGAAAGGACTGCCTCAGGAAAATCACTTGATGGAATTTGCTGCTGCTGAGGCTTTTGCTGTGACTGGTTCTGCAAGATCTGTGGCAGCCTCACAGCCTGTGAAGTAGTTTTTGCACATTGTTGAGGGATCAGTGGTTGCTGAACTAGTGAATTAGAGTTACACAACTGCTGCTGTACATCTGGGATAGTTCTCTGGAATTCCTGAATTTGGTGAATTTGAGGCTGTTGCACTCTTGGCTGTGAAAATAATGCTTGCTGCTGTTGTTCCTGCTGGAGTTTCTGTAGCAACTGCAACTGAATCTGTTGGTCAGATAACTGTTGATTCACTTGGACAGGGAGTTTAACTGGCATCCTACTTTGTGCTTGCTGGTATTGTTGCTGAAGTTGCTGGTGCTGCTGCTGCTGCTGCTGCTGTAGCTGCTGTTGATTTTGATGTGGCTGCAGCAGTTGCTGCGGATGTTGTTGCTGACTCTGTTGGAGAGCAGTTTGTAATAGCTGATTGTTCTGGATAATTGGCTGTTGCTGCAGCTGTGGCTGCACTTGAGTCTGGACCAGAACTTGTGGCTGTATGATGTTGTTGTGTGTCTGGTTTAATGGTAAAGCTTGGTTGACCAATTGTTGCTTCTGCTGCATAGCTAAATCTTGTACTTGTTGTGGGGGTCTACTAAAAGCACCCACTTGGTTCAGTGGAATCGATACCTTAGCAAGTTCATCTACCTGTTGGCCTTGTTGAGGCAGCCTACTGGCATTGAATTGTACATTATGCTGGTGCAACATTTGAGCTTGCATGCCCAACTGCCTAGAAAGATCAGGTGGGCCAAGATTTTGCATAACAGGACCAGCAAGGGAGCGCAAGTATTCTGTCTGCAGGGTTTGGTTACCAAGAGAGGGATTTTGTTGCATGTTCATCCATTGAACTAAACTTAAACCTGGCATTATTGTGCTCTGAGTTTGAGAATCCTTTATGCAGATCTCCTCTCCAAGCCAAGGCATCGCTCTCTTGAAAAGATTTTCCATTTCAGATGATTCATCATCTGCAACATCAACTGCCAATTCAGCATACTAAAAATCTCACAATTAAAGCTACTGAAACCTAGCTCAATGTCCTAGTTCCAAATTCTGTGATCAAGATTCATCTACAGTTATTACCAAGGTCCTCTCCGCTATCTAGAGCCCTGGGGTCCTGCTTCAGTGACAGCTGGTTCTTTGCCATCCACTGCCAAATCATGATAGTTTGTTTCTTATAATACAGTTTTAGCCATTCTTCTTCTCCATGCCAAGGACTTCATTGTTTTTTGTTGAAAAAGATTATTAAGGACATGCAGCAGATTGTTTCAGATCTTTTAGAAAAGTAGCTTAAGACAAGAATGTGCCACAATCATCTAAAGCCATTTATACAGAGATCTTGTTGTTCACATATCATGCATCAAAATGTACCTTGCATTCCTGGTTGTCTGGGTCGCTTTCCAAAAAATGGAGGAGGACAAATGAAGAAAGGAGCTACTACAGGTTCAATCTCCCATATAGAGACCCTGTTGCGCCTCTCCCCAGCTGCAGACTCATCCCACCCAACCTGTCGAGCATGCATAATACTATTAATAGGAAATAAATTGTAAGAAAATGGTAAACAGTCCAAAACTTTAACTAGCCTGACAGCCTAAGACTGTGGACCGAAAAACCAAAGCATGCAGATCACTGACATTAAAGGCCAACCTGCAAATTGCGCCATTGTGAGTTTTTCCATCTTACTGGATCTAGATCGCTAATACCTGTAATCGTACCCATGTACCTGCAGAATTTAGAGCAAGTTTAACTTTTTGATTGGATAAGAACTTTCCGATAGAATTATAAATTTCAAGTGTTTACATTAAATGAGAAAGTGGTTGCCGATAAAGAAACAGGAAACTTCAGTCTAGTACTTCAATGAATATGCAAAACTAGAAGTGTTTGCCTAACTGAATAGGTGCTTAAGTAGGAGACACCAAATTAAGCACTCCCCTTCAATAACTCATTGGGCTAGGGCATTTCACAGTCATCTCCATTTACACCAGCAACCCTGTGCTCCTCCATTTTCATGATCCTCTTCTTCATTCATCTTTTCTTATTGATACATTTTTCTTGGTTTGCTCTTTTCTTTCCTTTCCACTTGTTTTTTCTTTTATGCTCTTCTTCCATCTGAATCTTCTTTCTCTCTAGCAATACCATTGTCTGTCACTTCCTCATCAGCATTTCCTGATTACTGGACAAGTCTGATTTTTATTTTGTTATTGTTAAAAGGATTTAAATGATGCTTCTGGAGCATCCTCAGCGCCATTCACTTAAATGACTAAACATTGTTTAGCCAGCGAATGACCTTTCTCACCCTGTCTGGCCTCTTCAACACCCTTGCTAGAGAAAGGCATTGGTTTACATCAGATCAGAATTTGATGCGGCTAATCCAGTAAATTGAGTTTCTTACCGTCTTGTTCCTAATTCTTCAGTTTCGAACATCATTCGGAAGCGCATACCCAGGGATACTTGGTTGCTATAAACTGCCTTCTGGTATTTTGCAAAAGGGATAACAAACTCTGAAGGGCTAGCCCTGCAGAACAACAAGAAGTTCCTATTGTAATATATAACAGATATACACGAGAATTAACAACTGATTGCTCCAAAATTGTAGATGGTCAAATTTCAGATAGAACTTATGTATCTTGAACAAAACTAGGAATAGAAAGAACATACCTTGGGTTGTAAAACACCGTGAATGGGCTGTGGTTGGCAGCAGCATGGGCTGCAGCAGCAAGAATGCCTATATGCATACTATCAGTTGACAGGACTGATGATGATAGGTTAGTAGGTTGCCTGTTAGCACGCCTAATGCCTAAAAGAAGCTGTTGTTTTTTATCCCTGCAGATAAGGACGATGAAGGAGAAACATATGAGCTGACAATGATTTAGATCAATTTGCTAACCCTCTACCATCAGCTGTAAAAACAGAAAGAAAAAAAGGGGCACTTGGTATTATTTTTGTGGACAAATATGAAAGAAATAATAAAAAAAAGTCCAATTTAAACAAACAAAAATGTGTTCCGATCGTTTGCCTTTTAGGGTCATGACAAATGACAATCTGGAAACAAGAAAACATGATAAGGGTATTGGTGCACTGTATAGAGATTAGAATGTCATTACCTAATAAATAACACGGAATCACCGGCAAACAACCGCTTTCCGCTCACAAATAAGCTCCAACCAGTTGTGAGCAAGTGCCTCTTCGGTTGGCCTAGATTTCAGAGAAAGAACATGACCTTTCAAGAATACCAAGCTCAACAAGAAATCCAAATTTAGTGCATATGTTCAGCAAGTCACTACATCTTAGCATTTACAACTAGGTTTTCTGAGTATCAAGAAGAATAACTTCTAACACAGCTTGTAGAGCATATGTTCAGCAATTAGGTTTTTTTCTGCCTAACCTCGATAAATATGACGGAAAGTCCATAGATTATCATGCAAATCTCTGGCCTGTAATTCTTGAGCAGGTGGCTGCATTGAAAAATCCTACACAAGAATAACAAGGTTTGCAACATGGATCATCAAAGAACTACCATAAGCCTGTATTACATACAAAAGCCACACATGCATACAGAAATTACATACAAGAGAAGGAAAAATTTTCTCTGCAGCACGACGGGGCACGGAGAATCCTCCATGAGTGCTTGTATCACTTGCAGTAAGTGTCTTACAAAAGAATTCCGTTTGTGGCCTGGTTTGTTTTAGTGCAAGCTCTGATGCCTGCAATGCCTCCTTGTCATACTGCATTGAGGTAAATAAGTGAGGTACATATTGATGAAATGCTTCAAATTACTGCATACAGGAAGGATTAATATGTTAAAGTATGAGACAACAACAACTGTTATTAGTATCTTCCTCGAAAGAAAAAGAATTATCCTCTCTATCATAATACATTAAGTTCATTAGCCACACAATCATCAAGGCTAAAACCAAAGGCCACATTTCTAGACCAAGGCTTTTCTTCACCATGATGCTTTTTGTCAATATCAATAGACAGGAAGCTCCCATGCAAGAAAACTCTACTCTTGGGGACTTAGAATCAGTGTAAAGGTTGCAATAATTTTTCTGTAAAGCAATCAATCTTGTTCTTTCTAGTTTTGGTCAATGTTTGTTTGCTGATGGATGAGTACCAAGCAGATGAAATAACTTAATCGCTGAGCAACTCTAAGTCAAAATATGAACTTAGTGCCCACATCTTTTTAACCCTCTTTAGCTAGAAGTAGAAGGCATGGTTGAAGCATCTATTGGATAAATAAGACAAGATGACTCACTGAGTTGACTGGCTGAAGAGTCATTTGAGCATAAACTTCATCTGTCTCTGGATCTGCCTAAAGCATTACAAAGCCAACCTTGAAAGTATAAGGTAACTGAAAATGCAATCATAATTTGCATGTACAAAAGGAATAAACATTAATGAATGGTGGCATACATGCAGAGTAACATTGTGAAGAAGGCATATCAACTTTGAGGGAAGATTTGGATAATTTGGAATATGAGCATTGATATCCTTTTGCATAGAAGCTGCAACCTGAAAGAACAAATACAAGTTTTATCCTCACAACCTGAAAGCCCCTCGTATATTCTTCAGTGATTTCTTTCATATGAACTACATGCTCTTCTATTATTTATCCATACTGTTTTAGCTTAACCAATTGCATTTATAAGCATAACCTATATTTTAGCCAGAAAAGCCCAATATTGATAAAATGAAATACTGCAGGTCCAGTGCTCATTGTAAATGTCAAACCCAATCAACATCAAATTTAAACCGGCTTTTAAACAAAGAACACAACCTAAAATCGAATAAAAAAATAAAAGAAATTTCCGAAACAAAATTCGGTTCAACCATCTATGCGAGTAGAACTATCAGATCTCCAGGCCAGTTTAGGAACTTCACTAGCAAAATAGTCAAGTTGTGATTTCTAAGATCTGTTCATACAATCAAACATTATCGATCATGTAGAGAGTAGCTCACTGAAGAAAAAACTAGAGAAGAGAATACCATGAACAAGAATTTAGAAATTAATTCTATAGCTTGAGATAACTGAAAAAAAATATTTTTTGTTTGACATAGGCCAACAACAGGTACATGGTTTTCCAGCATATAAAACTGCCCTGTCACCACCCTCTAGAACTCACAAGAAAGCACCACATTCGTTGGCAGGTTCCGTACCACCATAAACCATTTACAGAGATGACACATGTACAGTATAAAGTGATTCACAATAATATTGACCTGAGATGTTCCTTCACAATTTGGAAACAGTATATATGTATGAAACAAGGGTCATCAATCATCATGGTCGAACTTGTCCCTGATCTGAGAATGATATTGTGATCTGTTTCTAATCTAATTTCGCATGCAAGCTACAACGAGATAATTATAAGATAGAAACTGTTCCAACTATGTTCCATCCAAAGGCATAATGTCCCCAAATCTCTTTTCCTCTTCCTCAAGCTCAGACATTGCTTATGTTTTAAGCTACAAATATGATGCAAAAAAAGGAAGGGTTATGGAATACTATAAGAAAGAAATCACAATTATTGCCACAATTGAAAAGATATTGCAAATATCAACCCATCATGTTTGATTTCACCCCTTACCAAGCATATTATTCAGTAAACTGAAAGCAAAAGTGGAACGATCGGGTCTTAAAATAACAGCTAATGAAGGAAATTAAAAAAAAAAAAACTTTTACTAATCAAGAAAACGTAAACTAATAAGAATCAATTGCAGTCATTCCCATTTGAAAACCGTGTTCATTTAATCAAGTGCTTTTTTCTCAAATTTCTTAATCAAGTACCATAATCAAAATTCCTGGTATCTGCAGATCTCCCAAATATTGAGAATAAAGAAACCCTGTACACTTCATATAGAAGCCATTAAGCCCATAGGATATTAAGAAACTCGCCAAATCCGTTCGTAACGTGAAGAATGGTATGCCAACATATATCGTTCAGGAAAAAGAACCAAAAGAAGGCAGCATAATTTACAGGCCAGAAAGAAGAAAAAGGGCAAAAAAAGATGGTTTCGCTAACAAGCTTTATGAAAGCTTCCGGCCATGCAAAGAGGAGGTCCTTTCCAAACCCGCATGATCGGGGCTACATAGGAACCGAGGAGGAAGCAATAGCAACACTCCCGCAGAGCACACGCTAGAAAAGGCCACAGTCACATCTTTACCTGCTCGCTGTGCCCTTGGGGGAAGTAGACGACGAGGCTCCCCACCGGCGGCACGGTCACGAGCGGCCCCGCGCAGGCGTACCACAGCTCCGGGTTTATCGTTTTCCTCTCCCCTGACACCACCACCACCAACACCACAAGCGTCAACCCCCCACCTCGGCCTGCGGCCACAGACAAAGCATCTAGAAAACGAGCTCGAAGCCAAACTCACCTTCGCAAGGGCTCGGAGCCGCAGCTCCACTGGCATCCGCCTTCATCTTCCTAATTCCCTCGAGCACCGCCACCGCCGTCTACGAAGCTCAACCGCAGGCCACCTCCATGGGCACCAGAACGGGGGCGGGTCTGGCCGCACCGGAGCTCCACCGGTTCGAAGGCAGGGGCCGCGGATTCCGACGAATCTGTCCGGTGGTGCGGCAACCGGGTCGCGGGGTCCCCTGCGCGGGTTGCGGGGAACGAGGGTTTCGGCCCTTTGAGGAGGTTCGTCTCCCGACAAGCGAGGGACCAGAAGAAGAAGAAGAAGCAGCAACAGCAGCGGCAGCGTAGGAGAGAGTAAGCGAAATAAAATAAGAGTACTCGTTCTCGGTCCACTCGTCCCCTCTCCCATTTCTTCTTCTACCAGCGGATAATAAGCAGTTTAATCCCCGTATTCGTCCTCGGTTCGGCTTTAACCCCCCGGATAACAGTTCCAACAGCGGCCGGCTGCGGTCACATCGCGCGAAAAGTAAACGGCGATCGAGCCGGAGGTCGCGCGGCCTAATTTTGTCTTGTGGAAAGGGCTTAACGACAAAAAAAAACCGCTCGTTGTGCGGGACCCGTAAAATAATGTAATTAGGAGAAAGGTAAGATCGAGGTCGAACGAAACGGGTGGGATAAGCAATTGTGTTTGCCGAAGAGATCCCTCGTCTGCGATCAACGTCCATCGGCCGGGGATTCGTGCCCGGGCGACACGTGTCGAGCGCGGAGTGGGCTTCTAATTAGGGGAAAGCTTGTGAGCTCCGGTTATTACCACTACTACACCATGGTTTGCTAATGCAGGTAGGAATAGGTACTGCATTAGCAAGCGAGTTTACTTGCTAAGCTCGAACACCTCCACTAATAATCCAAATCATTGAGGCTTTAATATGGCATCTCCTGTTATGGCATGTAAACATACGTCGCACGCAACATATTAGCCCATAACAAGTGCCTACAACGCTTCGACTCTTTGCCTAAATCGTAGCTGATGATTGCTTTCTCGTCAGCTTTCCCGAGTCGCGAAGGGGGACGGACGCCTTGTTTGGCGAGAGCGTAAATACATCGAAGGACGAGGGTGATCCTGCGCGAGGAATGAAGAGAACCCTCCCCGCGCCGACGTCACGTGCCGCGTGCAATAATCTACGCCTACGCTGTGGTTTAAGGGGTTAAGTCCTCGATTTAGCCCATTAGTTTGGCGGGATTAATCCATTAGGTCCCTCGGTGACGTGGCGCGTACAGTTCGGCGCGTGCTTTCCTCCTCGTGCGACAGCGACGGGAGCGCCGCCCCAGCGTGAAAAAAATACTTTTTTATTCGTCGATCTACCCAGAAACCCTGCCCAGAAGTGATTGCAGGAAATGTTCGTGGGACCCACCGCTTCTGTCGATGGTACTGGAGGTACAGCGATCGGGCATCCAAACCGCGTTCAAATCTTTTTATTCGGAAGGATTAATAATAGTTTAATCTTTAATTACTCGGTTTAATCTGGCGGGGCGCGGTACGGTGGGCCCGCGCCGTCTCGTTTCCCGGGATGGTACCTCATGGGCCCGGGCGGGACCCACCTTGGTCGGTCCTTCCGTGGAACCGGTTCGGCTGGCTTGCCTGGGTTTGGTTGACTGGACCGGATTGGGCATACCGGGAGGGAGAAGCCAAAAGAGGCCCTGCTCTCGTTTTGGCTTTGTGCTGCTCTGCGCTGCGGCGGATGCGAGAAGCGCCGTGTGAAGTGTTCCCTTGACTGCGAGCATGGCCGTGGTCGTCGCCATGGCCGTGGGGTTCATGAACGTCTCCAGCGAACAGAGGTTGTCTGTGCCTCAGCTCAAGCACGGAGAGGAGGAAGCACAGTGACGAAACAAAGATGCGTATGTCCTGAAGGTGAAGAGAAGCTTGGCTGAGCTACGACGACCAGACACTGTGTGTTTGTGATCCTGATGTTGTGCAGGAAGAAGAAACGAGTTTGCAGAAGCAGAAGTACGGGGAGATGGATGCTTCCACATTGATTGCAGCTTGTTCTCTGGTGGCGATGGTGGTGACCTTGGCATTAAATTTCAAGCAGCAGACGATGTCATTCTAATATGGTTTTTTCTCGTATAATCTATGATTTTAACACTGATTGGAATTGATCGGAGCTATATATATTCTTCTTAGTGTATTATCTCAATGAGAATGAACGTAGATTCTTCGCTTCATTGTCATCTTAATTTTTCTATCAATAAAACTATAGTTTTTGAAAGAAACATGATGTGCAGTATGGTTTTAATAATAACATTTACTAAAGGACATATGACTGTTTGTTTCTTATGCAGTGAGTGGAGAACAAAGAGTAAATGCATTAAACAGAGATGAGAGAAGACCTCTTCGATTGATTAGTGATCATATCATCAATAAATTTGCAGTTGATATCACTTGAAACTTATGGATCCACTGTGATCTTTAAATTGCAATTGAGCATAATATCATTAGGTGTATGGAATTTTGTGTATCCTTCCTTCTAGAAACATGCAAAAGCAAAAAATAATAGGCTTGATCAGCCTAAAAATTGAAATGAGATGTCATTAACAAAGCTAAGCTGCAAAATTTTGATTCCTGATTAGGTCCATATATGACAATTTTTTATATGATTTTGAATAGAAAAGTACAGATATCTTAATTAGGAGGGTTGATGGCATGAACTTTTTGGAACTTCATCAGGAAGCTTCCACATGAGCACCCTCTCTAAAGCATTAACATTTGAAGTAATTGATTCTTGTGCATGATAGTTGATGATTTGTATAGAGAGGCCATATCCCTTTCAGGATCTTTAAGGAATCTTAATCATAGAGAGTTTACAGCTAGTTTGATGCTGGAACAATGTGAACCACCTCTCAACCACAACACTTGATAGATTATAGATTCATGTTCATCCCAAACACAATATATTTTAATTTCCTTTTCACCTCACACAAATACCTCTAACACCACTGCTAATCCTAAGCAAGGACAATAGTTGCTAGATAAATGCTTCACATCCTCTGAACATGACTTTGCTAACATCTAATGTCCACCATCAGTGGCTATCTTTCAACTGATGCTTATTTGATGGGATGCTTTAGCTAATAAAATGGATCTGATTGGGTTTACAGCCACAAAATTGAAGTGTCTTTGCAAGTACAGTAGGACAGAACATGTCACATGGAGCTCAATGATCAATTGCAGTCATAAGATAGGTGGCTGCAGTGAGTCAATCTACATGGTTGGATACTTATTAGACCAATCACTGGCTTCTTCTTCTGCACCAGCCTGCCCCAGCTACCACAGATACTCTGTTTCTGCAGTCAGGTCTACTCCATTTGCTCATCAGATCTGTAGTTTGATTCTACTCCACAAGCCTCCCACATTTCCATTGGGCTTTTTTTATGTGCCACTTAAATAATTCATTCTGATATTTTAAGGGGTCCATTCTGTCAAGAACATGGTTTTGGTGCAGAAGAAAGGAAGTCACAACCAACATTAGAAGCTAGAAAATTATGACTTACTCTTTGCACAGCTGCAACACCACAAGCAGATTCAATGTGAGTTTGACCCTAGACAATGCTTACCCCTGGGCCACCATTACCATCAGCTGCTGCTGCATTGGTGGTTCACAGAATCCTGCAACTTTTTTAGTGTATAAACAGAGAGGGTAGGGTGGGGAGGAAGATATGATTGATTGGATGGTGATTGAACTGGCCACCTTCAAAAGGCTCAAAGGGCAGACATCTTTTGGCAGCTGGTCAGCCTGGTATAGCTTTCAGTAGACAGTAATATTCTGCCTGAAGTTAAAGGACAAGAAGTGAGATTACTCTTGCAAGATGAGTCTTACTGTCTTAGTGTCCCTCTCTTCTAAATTCTTTAAAAAGTTGAATGAAAATTCATTTCAATTTTAACTACAAGTTGTGGGGTAAAAAGGAACATAAATTTGGATGCAATTTGAAAAGAAGTAGAAATAGAAGACTTTTCCTTTCAGCTTTTCAAATATTCTGAAATAACTTGAAAGTAAATGAGATTATCATGTAATTTTTTCTAAATTTTTCAAGAGATAAAGGTAATGTAGAATCAACTTTAGCTTTTAAGATCTGGGAATTTGATGTGGTTTGAGTGGCTAAAAACATACCACAAGGCATAGTTTCAGTCCATCCCTATCCTATGCAATTCAATCATCTGGTTTGTAAATGTTGCAATAAGAGCCTTGCTGCTGTGGTTCAACAGCCATAGCCATATGTGAATCATTCCCTACCATGCTCTCATGTTCAGAATCTATACACCAAGATTTTTTTTGTTTAACTAGTCAATATGTTTGTGCATACATATGTGTATATATAATGTAAAAATATCACAGCTTTTTAAATTATCCTATTGTTTGAACTTTATTTTCTGCAAAACTTATGAAGCCTAGTTACTTGTATCAAATCTTTGGGCTTTTTCAACTAAGTAATATTTTGATAAATAAATTTTTCACTTTTTAGGAAATACTCAGTCTTAATTTTTCTAACAATATTTATAGCATAGAAAGATGATACATCTGTATATATCATTGTTGAAAATTTATGACTAAAGTGATCAGGATTCTAGTCATAGCTGTACCTGTGGCCTCACCTAATTCCTTGGTCTCAGGCAATTTGATCAAACTACAGAGATAAAATAGGGTTTTCTGCCCATTTTAGGTTGATCTACTGAACTTGACTTAAATGTTGGGTCCATTATATATTGCAGAAGATAAATGCTAATATAAAGTTTAGTTTTGGATCAATTAGATCAGATACTTTAAAATAAGAAAAATACTTTTATAACTTATTCATCTACTCATCAATAATGCATGGAAGCAAATAAGTACTTACTGATAACACAAACCTTCAGTTTGAAGGGCTACTTGATATGAGTGCTTAATAGGAGAAAATACTAAAAGGAGACACAATTACAGTGGTTGTTGGCAAATACAAGGAGGAGAAAAAACATGGATTCCAACAACATATATAATGTTGGTTTCTTTTCTTTAAATATATATGTTGTTAAACAGCAGCATTCTCTCTCTCTCTCTCTCTAACATATATATATATATATATAATTTCTCTATGATTGCAGTTTCTGTTCTAGAGGCAGGTCTTTTATCCTTGGGGTGCCCCTCAGGGGGACACTTCAATGTAGCAGGTCTCCTGAAATGAGACCTAATTGTTACCAAGTTTTCAGGTGGTACAGCAAACGCTTGAACAGGGAAGAAGTTGATCACTGCAGAGAGGATGAACTCTAGACCTTGTCTAGTGAAATCAAAGAGGAAATGTTGGGACACCTCCTCTTCAGATTATGTACCAAAGTTGGTCAGAGATGTGCTGCATGGTGTCTCACAGTGATGTCTCAGTCGGTCCTTTTGGACCTCCCTCTGATCCCTTTGTTCTGTTCTTAGCCATCAAAAGGTGTGAGCTTTTAGGTTTATTATTTGGTGGTAAACTCTTGAGCTTGTATTAGTTAACATGACTTGAATATGCATGACTTTTATTTAAGTTACAAACTCAGAGACAGGCACAGTCAGATCTGAAGGATTAAAGAGCACAAGCAATGAGATCAGTGGGGCTCATTTGAGTGGCCTACATGATCTTAGATCTTAGGAAATATGAGAAAAATTCCATTTCATGATCATCATCTTTGGACCATCCTTGTGCTATGGTCTCATAAAGTTCTGAAGGAGTCCTTTGTGGAGTTAAAGTAACTTTCTACACATTGAAGGAGACCAACCAACCCAATTGTATTTTTGAGTCCAAACAGTCCCCTAATTGCTGCCTAACCTTCTTTCTCTATCATTCTTGTTTGATGATGACAGGTCTATATGATAAAGGTCTTCTTCTATGTGGACCTTTGGACCTGTGCAAATTGATGATTTGATTTTTCTGCAGTTGGTGGGTGTTAAAATTGAACATGATTGAGGTGGTTGTGGTGAGCCTGATCATAACATTCATTGCAAATGCAGGGATCAAGCTTTGATGATTGCTTGAAGGTTCTGCAGGATGATTGGAGCTGAAGGAGTTCATGGTGCATTTGTAAGAGAAGTTTAAACCCAGTGATGGACTTCACAAACTTACTGTTTTAACCCTGACCTCCAATGCATCAACCTTGGGTGATTCTTGACATAGCATGGAGGAGACAACAAAGGATTCCTCAGCAAATGCATCTGAACTCAGAGAAAAGATGGAGTCCATTGAACTCATGCCTTACTGAAGGAATCATTGAGGCCTACTGCCTTCAGATTCAGACAAATACTCCCATGCTCAATAAATCTCCATGTGTATAGCTTGCTCTTAAGGAGTAACAGAGCTCCCATAACCTGCATAAATGCATTTCAATAAATGTCAGAAAATTAATAAAGAATTGTTAGCAATTTGCACCTGAAGAACTGCAGGTTTGGGAAGGATCATCAATCTATGCATTGCATCATAGCAATTAAGATAAAATAGAAAGATTGAGATCTTCTTTTCGGAAGAACCAGTAAATGTAGTTTTCTTGGTGATTCTACTTCTTTCATCTTCTTATAATCTGTACTCTAAGAAGTTCAAGAAACACTTCTTCCTTCTTACAAGCTGTGTTCATTATTTTCTTTTAGGAAAATAAGCTTTTGCTACTGCAAATGCAGACACTGCACTGATGTTTGAGTTTGATCAAGAACCAGAACATATGGACAGAATTGATTTTGCTAGCACATCCCCCGTGTAATCCTCTATCTCATATGAGTAGCTAGAAAAAATTGGCCTGTGCTCTCGATTTAATTCGAGGATCTGAAATGACATGCACACAGACAAATCCAAAACGCATTAAATCCAGAGATCTAAGCATGACCGGCTCTCATGCATCCCCCCACCTTGCTCTAAGAGATCCAGCTCATCTGATTCAGACTACATTAACACCACATCACCTCAAGGTTTGCTCAAAAGTCCATCTCCTCCATACTTGATGAAGAGGACATTTCATGCATGAACAGGCCTTAAGCAGCAAGAAGATAGAGCAAGATCTGTCCCACCTGATTGATTGATTGATTGATCCCCATCTCCAGTGACCACTGCACCACACCAGGGGGACCAACTGAATTATATTAATTAGAAAATAATTTTTTTCTCTGGTATTTTTGTTAGTGATTTGAGTCATCATTATTTGAATTATAGAAATTTATTATGACTATGAGGATGATGATGATAGCTTCACACCTCATTTTAAGACTTGAATTGGCTTATAAAAGTTTGATATACTATACAACCATTTAACTTGGTTTTAGATCTATTATTAATAGTCAATTACTCGATCAAGGAGGATTATGATAAATAAAATCAGAATAAATATTATTGACTACTATTAGAGGTATGCGTAAAAGAAGAAAGTTTTACGTACGAGGGGACAAAGCAAGAAAGAGATGTGAATCAGATTCAAGTACATCACAACATATATTGAAGTACATTGATATTTGATTAACATAGTTTTATATTAATTATTAACGGATCAGTCATTCATCAAGTTAGATTATGATAAATGGTGTGAGAGTAGACTTAGTAGTGGATATTGTGAGAGATTAGAGCAAAAATAGACTATATATTAATGAGAATCGAGATACATTTGGTTTTTTATGAGGATATAAAACCCTTTAGCGTGAGATTTGATAGACTATTATTAACTTGAAAATAGGTATTTTGGATCATATGGTTCATTAACTTTATATATATATCTCATCGCTAACTTTATATTAGAATTTTAGCAAGCAAGCATGACACTCATCATCCAGTTTCTAATGTATTGCATGCTTTGCTATCCATCATATTATTACAAGGTTTCTGGTAAATGAGTAGAGGAAGGCAACCAAACTAGCAAGAACATTTTTCAAACTGTTAAACAATTCAGGAATTTCTTTCTTCTATTGACCGAATGATTCTCTAAATCTTTCTTTGGCTCTCCTCCGTAATTTTTACATAATGATCAATGAGTATTGCAGAATATTTTTTTTTATAAAATTAGCAAAGCAATTCTGAATTGTGGACTTCACTCTGTTATTCTTCACTTGAGAACATAAAAGAGTGGCTATCAGCATCCCTTTTCTTTGATAGTAGAACATTTTCTCTCACTTGTGATCAAAGATAACTTGAGGTATCAAAAAAGAAATGAATGCAACTGAACACATTGCACCTTGGATAAGAAGCATGATGCCTGACTGTTTCTAGTGGTAGCTAATGGTGTGGGATGACTCAGATTAGGTAAACATCAGTAGGAAGACATATGTGCTGCATCATGATTGGAGGAAGTAGTACATTCAAATCCCTGAATTCCTTTGCTACCTCAAATATGGTGGATATCAACTGAATTCAAGAAACTGGAGCTGAAAAGTGGGTGTGCTGGTGGATGATGGCAACAAAAAGAGCTTCCATTCTCTTCTTCTGTGCTATCATTTCAATGGATTAGAATCTAGTAAAGATTTGGCTTTGGGCTGAAGTCACACTGTGGCTTCATTCCACAAACTTCTCATTGTAGCTTTGAGTGGTGAGGAAAAGAAAACTTCACAGGATGAGAGTATTGGGAAGCCTCAAGACATGACACCAAAATAAGATCTCCACTATAGCACCACAGCCAATATTTCTGAGTTGCCTGTGGTGAATCTATTTTAGTGGGAGCTGCAAGTGGGAGAAATTACAATTACAATTTTTGGCCCAGTTTAATCACATTACATGAAAAGTTTGTGCTATGGGTGCACATCCTAAACCAAGTTTAAACCAATTTTGGCTGCAAAGTGGTCCCATGGAACTTATGGTGAAAAAGAGCCATCACACCATCTCCTCATCTACATATTGGAAGAGTCCATGGAATTCATGTATTCTGTAATCATTTATCACCAAGATAATCTTCAGAGACTGACATGATGTAGGTAGAATTAAAAGAAAAAGTGATTGACTTAATCATAATATCTTCATATATGTTGATTTTGGTCTTCCTGTTCCATCAATTTTGTGCTTCCCATATTAAAGTTTAAGAAAATACACCTCCCTGTTAAAACATTGTCATGTATTGTACAATCCTTCATTCTCCATGACATTAAAGTTAAGAAGAAACCAAAATAGCAACAACATCAGAATAAAGCATCACACCTCAAAAGGATTCCTGGAATGGTCACCATCTTCTAGCTTCATCTTGGGTTGATCATTAAGAGAACTACCACACATTTGTTCTGATGAAGGTGTAGCTGCCGTCGGTGTTGGGTCTTCGTTTTGTCGAGGACTTGATGAAGCTGGTCCACCAGTTAAAAGCTCTTTATGTGTAGGAGGAGCTGCCCAAGATAAGGGATTCACTGCAGCATGGACCAGATAATGTAAAGTATGATGACAACCTACCATCTAATATTGGTTACTGCAATATCAAGAAATCAGAAAATAAGTGAAAAAGAAAAACTCAAGCCAGCAAGATTTGCATAGAACACAAGAAATAACCAGCTCCTGTTTTTAATCATTTGCAAAATAATCAGAGAAATAGGGAATAATCAGACATGTTCTAGTACAACCCAATGACTAAAAGACTCAGGAGAAATTAGTTGTCCGAAAAGCTTAGCGAATATCTTAATACGAAAACACAAGAAATGCAGACATGATGAAATTAGCTAAAAACTATAACAAACATTTCTTTCATTTCATTAAGATATGCATACTGCTAGTCACACTGCATGAGCAGTTCAGTTTAGGTTTTGCTAAAACACCTTTGTACATTTATATCAATTTCCTATAATGCCATTGATATGATTTCTACACTGATATTTTTTAAGCCATCAGTGAATAGTCAAAAAAACATTCAAACTTGAGGCCCAAAATCAATGGTATTCTTTTCTTTTCTTTTTTTGAGTTGATACACTAAAGAAGTCACAAGAGACTGATTAAGTCATACGGAACCTCCTTGTTCTGCATATGTAGAATCTATCATCTGCTTTATATATGCAACTTGAAGCAAATCAGTGTCACATTGAGCTGGTCAAAGGCAATTCTCTCTTCCAGCAGATCTCATGGCTTCTCTTGGAGCAACTCAAGAACTAGTCAACTAACTAATATGAAAATGCCACAATAGAGAATTTACATATTCAGTTATCACAGCAGGTAACTTCCAAAGAAATTCTGGAATTTACTTTTGCTATTTTCACTCACCCTCTTCAGGTTCAGTTGGCCTTGGCAGTACTGTATCAGGGTCATTACAAGAATTTGTCAAACGTGCAGGACGTTTTCTGACATAGTTCTCTTGTAGAGGCCTAGGGGACTGAAATGAAAACTGAGAGAGAGTTACCCCTTGTCCGTGCTCTGGGTGTTCAAGCAAATACCTGCAAGGTTCATCGACAAAACAACATAATATGACTAAAATAACCAACATGTTGCACTTCTTTTATCAGATAGCACAACAATAATTATAAACAACCATACTAAGTGGTAAATGCAAGTCTTTCAAAATATCATGTATCTTGTGAGGAAGAACATGGACTATACCTTTGAATCTCGACCATTGACCGCAATCTTTTCCCAGATGGTGCAGCATAATACCTGAAAAAAGAAAGTTTGGCATCAATGCTGGGAGCACTTTAAAGCTGTAAAAATGCATGAATGGATGCCACTCCAAAGCAGAAAATCAAGACTGTGTGAGCCAATTTGGTTTTAAAATGTCAGATATAAATAAAAAACAAAAAAGGAAACCATGAAAATACCAAACAAAAGGTTATAAGAAAGAGATCTAAGTAAGTTAACACCAAAATTAGGTTGAAGACTTCTCTCTAAATATTAACTATACTTGGGAAGATTTGATGCCAAGAGCCAATCTGATTATGAAATTCTTGCTAAAAAATTATGAATTTTTTTCCAAAATAATTCAAGTAAATGCTTTTCTGGGCTCAATTTATGATTAAAAGTTTAGACGTGACAAAAGGGTCTGAATGGTGCAACATTTAACTCAATATTCAAGTTCATATATCACTCAATAAATACTATTGCAAAGTTTCAAATCGAACACAGAGGTTCATTGTAGTCCATCATGTTACTTTGGAACTTCCTTGATAAGTCAACATGGTTTTTCTAGATCTTGTTGATCATATGAAAGAATAAACAGCATAAAATTCATTTTCTTTATTTTAACTCTAAATTTATTTTGTTCACCCAAAAGTTAACTGTTCATATTGTTTATTTTATGTTTTAAACCATCACAACTCGATCTTGCTTGGTGGGTTAAACCTCTACCCAGTTTAATCCTCTGTGTTAGAAGAAAACAAATCTCCTGGTACCAAATTCAAAAAAGGAAAAAAAGGAATAAAACACAAATGAAGACACAGAAAGATTTACGTGGTTCACCCAATTTGGGCTACGTCCATGGATCTGCTGCATATCTTCACCATAGGGAAAAAATTACAAGTGTGCAGAAAACACTTGTTACCAGCCTCTCAAACTCTCAGCAACTTCAACCACTACTATACACATACTTCTTGATAGAGCTCATCGCTATTTATAGCATATACACACCAAGGAAGGAAAGAGAAATCACATGTGACCCACTAATATAAACAGCACTGAATACCCCCTAGCCACAAATTAGAGAAATGGTTACAACCACTTTTACCAAGTTACAAAGAGTTTTAACACCCATATCAAATGCTACCTTAGGAAAAAAAGCAAAACTTTATGTGATGACTTCCTTATCAAACTTTTTTCAACATAATTCCATCTAAATTGATATATTGTCCAAAATTGAATTTCTAGTTGCTTAGTTATTTCCAAAAGATGAATTAGAAAACAATATGCACATGATCAGTCAAGTATTGAGAGAATTCCTTTTGTGACTTCCAAAAGGAATTAAGACATGTTAAGCTAGCCCTAGGCAAGATGAAGTCATTGACAAAGGAATATGCACCTTATAAACTAAACATCAAGATCCCTAATCAGACAAGCATTCTGGACGGGATGCATCTTAAAAAGGAACCACTCCCTACTACCTCATTTTCCTTAATTATTCAAATCAACCAGTCCTGGTCTTAACACTATTTTATAGCTCTATCATATGGCTATCTATTCAGAACATACGTCATGGAGTTCCACAAAGGCACAAATGTTGTGGTATAAAATAAATAGTCAAAATTTCCATCCTGAGCAGTCTACTTGCGGAGAATAAAAGAAGGGACAACCAGAGAAATCAAAGACATACACATCTGCAAATTTTGTGCCTCCTTCGCCTCTGATCCTAAGCAATCTTTCCCAGCCAGGAGGTGGTTTGGCGATGTTAGGTTTATCAATTGCCCAGAGTCTACTGCCATCCTGCGATATGTCTTCAGGATCTTCACATGAAATATCAGGACGCCACTCACGAGCATGTTCACATATAAAAGGCTCTTCTAATATGTGTTCACGTATTTGTTCATATTTCTCTTTTGTTGGAATGATCCTCCATTTGAAACATAAATCACATTGGACTGTAAATGTCCCAATGGATGGAAAAGTACGGCCAGAAGAAATTGGTGCTAGGAAGTTTCTAGATGTTGAAGTATGATAATCCATGAGATCACTAACTGCATGAGCATCCTGACTGGTACCACTTGTACCAGGGTCATAAAGCACCAAATGATTTGAAGGACTTGCAGTAGAATGATTGTTCACGTCATTTGCATTACCATCAGCAACATCAAATGACCTTTTACGAATATTTTTTGAAGTCTTTGGGGACCCATGACCAACAGGAGCATCTTCCAGATATGTCTGCATTTGACTCAATAACCTGCTGCAAATAAATCTTACTTAAAGATTACTGCGACATAATAAATAAGCCTATGGAATTGGAAGCATACCAACACTTGGTCAAAAAATGAGAATTTTGCACGATTATGGCTCCTATGAATCGCGAGGTCCAGAATTTGGTGTAAGCTTACTTTGGCAATTGCTTGATGGAGAATGGTTCTGGAAAATATAAGGAAGCACAAACTTTATATAATTTAATAATTTCCCAAAAACACATGCTTTCAACACAGACATTACATAGAATAGTATAAAGAAATAATTAAGGTATACGAATATGTCAAAGTAAATGTATTATGCCTTGTGTGGTGTCAACCAATTAATCGAGACATTGTTGGAACTTGGAACAACACTTCTGCAACAAGATATTGAAACATTCTACATTTATTTATTACCATTTTCATTAATATAAGAGTATGACCGGGTATGATTCCCAGCCTTGTTCCTGAATCATTAACTTTCTTCGTTTCACTCAACCACCATGAGCTATACTGTGGTTTTTACCATCCATTGAATTTTTTTTTCTCCGCAGCATCCTCAATTGTTTTCTCTTTGAGAAAATTATGAGTTGATAGCTGATGCATGGAGATTCAAAAGAAATCAACATGTATGAAGTAATATTTCTAGAGCTAAAAAAATGGAACTCTTCGTATGATAATAAAGCTCCAATGACAGTATTGGACTACTCATATTCATGTTCTTCATCTGAGCAAGCTACAAGATGTGAACCTAGTTATCCTGTAAACAAGTCCACTAATTTCCTGTTTTTGCCATTCCCCTAATACAGTAAAATATTTGTATAGGATGACACTAACACTAATCTAAAATATGAATACGTTCCAATTCATTTATAAAGAATTATAGTTCACTGCCGCAAATCACATAAAATAATCAGAAACATGGCAGCAAAACTTCATACCATAGACTTAAGAATTGATCTAAAACCTTCCTTTCCAAGTAAAATTAAGCTCACCAGCATACTTATTAAAATACATAAGTAGAGGGAGAAACCACCACCCAGCTGGATCCCTATATAGAAGCTACGAGGCTATCCGACGCAACATTAAAAACCTTAGTGCAAGGAGCTGAAAAGAACAAAAATCAGAAAAATCTAAGCTGTAGGATATCACAACAAGAGAAAGAAGATCAACAAAGTGGACTGGTCAAAGACAACTAAAGGTTATGGGAGTTTGAGTTCGAAGATGTTTTTCCAAGCTTTTACATAGGTAGAAACTCTTACTGAGGGAACTTGTTTCCAGTTGCAACAGACAAGTGAGGAAGTTCTCTGATTTATTAGTCTCCCAAGATTATTTTGTTTGTCAAAGTAATAATACCTTTTTTTTTTAATGGCTTCTGAAGATTCATATCTACCCTATGAATTTAATTTTGTCTTTGTCAATAATTCCCCAGGAAAGCCAAGATGCTACTCCACAAAAAAGGTGTGCTAGTATAAAGAAAAGTTAGCATAGCATGACTTTCTGATCAATAAAATCAGACTTGTTAGCCTATTATTTGCTCTATCAAGCTGAAGTGTCATTGGACCTTAGCATCCATTCCACACCAGAACAATCTCAACAGTCTGTTGGCAGCATGATTGAATTACATTTTATAAAATATTTAAATAATTAAAGCCTACTTCAAGCCTTACATAGGTTCATGGAGAAGAAAAATAATTATTTATTTTACTCAAGATCCATACCACACTGATTGTTGAACTCTTGCCAATGTCAGCACTACTTTGAGTTTGTCCAATGGATTACGATACTATTAATTCTGGTGCATGTAAGAAATGCAGAAGATTTCTAGTTAACCTTTATTTCATAATATCCAGATGATTTGTTGATCTTTTGTGGTAAGAATGGCACGAGCTCACTGAATTCATATCAAAGTCTCAGCTACCATGAGTACTTTATGAAGCATCATTCCAGGTTTACTAGACACATCAACAATCCTCACAGAAGTTCAATGAAAAAATAAAAGCTATGTTGGAAATTCATTTAAAACAAATTAAACTTATTCAAAGAAAACTACAACACTTAAAAATTAGTGAAGGAAGGATTGTGCTTCCCTATATGTTAAGCAAGAATCAGTTATATCTGACAAAGCCAAAAATCAGAAGAAATTAAAAAAATTGATTGATAACATAGGTACAACTTCCATATCAATTCAAATCTTAACTAAATCCAATTAGATCCAGCAAAAGTACACCACAAATTTAGTGTTGTTTTTTAATTAGAAACCAAATAAAGAAAACATCAAATCTTTCTATACATAACAAAAATCCAGCTTTAGATCTAAAAATCTTCAGGTATTTATACATATAATTTAGAAACCTTAGCTAACCACCCACAAAAGCAATCCACTACATCTAAGAAAGCCAAGCTGCATATCCAGAGGATCCACAGACAAAAGGCCTGCTACTATAACATTTTCTAATTAATCAAATAAAGACTGGTTGATAAATTATTATCTTCCAAGTCAACCAAGAGTCTTACGTAGCACAGAAACCTTGGCAAATATCATATAGAATCTTGGTCAGTCTATTAGCAGAGCTGTGGAATTTCGTCTACATAGTTCTATTGTAACTGGAGCCTACGTCAATCCTTACAAAATGCTCAATGAGGAAGAAACATTATCACCTTTTTTTTCACTCAAAAACTAGGACACGAATTGACCACTGATCTTTTGGCAATGTCAACACTAGTTTGACTGCGTCTGACAGATTAGAACACCATAAGTTGTGGTGGATGTCGAAGAACAGAATATCTCTAATTATCCTCCTATCCCATGATACTGACTTGAACTTTTGATATCTTGTAATAGGAATGGCATGAATTGGCCGAATTCACACCAAAGTCACAACTATATAAACATACTCCAAGCATCATTTTCAGGTTTCTCAGAGATATTACCAACCCTTAGAAAACTAATAGACGACTAAGGAAATGTTATAAGTTCCACAAAAACAGGCAAAATTTATTTGCAGCAAACCGCTGAGCATGGCTCATAACAAAAATTTTTCGGTACAAAATACCCACTTCTAACTTTCCCATATGTTAACGAAGCGTCAGTTTCAGCTGCAAAGGACAAAATTTGAAATACCAAACGATACGATTTAGATAAGCTTTCAGCTCCCTGTTAGATCCAGCAGGAAAATTCCAATAAATGGGGCTTGCTTCCAAAAAGGAAACTAACCGGAGCCATATCTGCTGATCTTGCATAAAAAGTCCATCTTTAGAATGCAAGAATGAGCACGAAACCGTATATTGCAAAGGCACCTCAGCTGATGTCCCTTGGAAGCAATCCCCGGCGCCGATTTCGAATCAGCGAGCGGCGGCGAATGAATCTACGGAGAAAGGGAGCTGAGAAACCGGGCTGAGATCCAGGTGACCCAGGGATTCGAGGTGAGAGGATGAAGGTAGCAATATATCCCCGCGTCGCGATCTCGCTCGCGGTCCGAGAATTGGAGGCGAAGGGGTCGCGTACCGGGTCGGAGGCTTCGGGTTCCGGGGACAACTCGATCCTTTGGTATTCTTCTGGATGTTTCGTGTTCTCTCCCATGCAGCGTTGTTTGGATCCCGACAGTAGAAACCTGGCTGAAGAAAGACGCATCTCATCAGTACCCTTATCTACCCGTCTCGTGACTGGTGACACGGATGGGCAAAAGTGTGGGTCCCACCTGGCATGCCCTCCGCGCTTATAAACAGCGGCAAATAATCGGGGGGGAGAAGAGTGCGGGTATCGACGGATTTGATTTCATCCGACATCGTCCGATCTGTGATGTGTCTTTTGACATGATCAGATCGTTTTTATGTCTATTATATAATGCATAAAATAGTTTTATTAGTGATTGAAATATATTGTGGCATATGTCGAATCTATTTGTGTCTTTTACCACAACAATAACTCCTAATATCTCAATTTTTTAAAGGTCAGTTGCATAAATATTCTATGGTAATTAAACTCTAAAAACAATATCTTTAGTTAAACTAATAGTAATACTTTTTTTAATATCTCACCCTATTTCTCCTCTCCTCTCCTCTCCTCATACGAGTAATATTAACTATCTCATGTGAACATGTGCTGGTGTATATATAATCAATTCTATCTCATCTTAACGTATGACTGATAATGAGTGGATGATCAATCAACTATTTTATAAATATATATATATGTTAATGTAAAAGTACTATATGATTATATCAATTTTTTAGTATTCGGATTGAACAATATCTTAAATAATTGATGCAAAATACTTAAACTTTTTATATCAAAGACACATGACAACTTTTTTTAAGAAAGTAATATGTTTAGTCATTGTTTATTTTTTAGAGTATGAGTTGACGATGACAAGTTATGTTGCAAAAATGAGAATTAACTTACATTGTTTTTATTAATTTATCGCTTGTATTTATCGTAAGATTAATTTATTATCTTACTATTATCGCTCGTATTTATCGAAACTTTTTATCGCTCATATTTATCGAAAGATTAATTTATCATGTCATTCAAGTTCCAATAATACAAGATTGTTACTATTATTATTATTTTTTAATTATAATATAGATTGTCAAATAAGTAAAAGTTTAAAATTTTCATTGACGTTCTCATTAGTTTGACGTGACTTCTAGAATTAATCTTTTTGATACTCAAGTTAATCCCAATATTAATTTTTATTGATCAATATTTTTGATTTTTACTGCTTCTTATATAAAATTGAAGATATATTTTTATGTCTAACTTTTGAGAGATAAAATATTCATTTGAAGATTTTACAAAGGTTCGATATTTTTACCTTGGATAATCATACGGATATAGGTCCGGACAATGTCGGTTTGATCAATACGTTAATAATATTTTCTCTTATCACAAGATATTTTTTCACTTGAGTAACGTGGAGAGTAGATATTTAATGATCACTATAGAAAATTTTTTACTTTATGAATAAAATATTTATTTATATATATATTTGAAATTTCAGGATCCATGTATTTTTCTTGTATACATATATATTTATTTTAGGACATGCGAATATGTTTGCTTATGTTTAAAAGCCGTTTAACGGCTACAATAATTTGATTGGGTCAGCGCGGAGGAACCATCGAACCCGGTTCGGGCCCAAATCGGTCCACCTTTAAATGTCGAATCAACGACGCTGCGACCACTCTCTCCCCCAACAACATTCCTTCCCTGCCCCGGAAAGCCCCCTCAAAACCCTTCTCACCCCCTAGTCTCCTGGCGCTCGGCCATGGCGGCCGTCGCTCGATCCCTCGCCGGCGTGGAAGTTCCCATCCTCGGGAGCGATAAGGCTGAATGGATTGAGGTCACCGTCCCCTCGTCGTCCTTCTCATTCGCGGCCGCCTCGGCTCCCCAGCCGTCTCCTCTGGCCAACGGTGGCGCCGCCTTCGCCCCCAGGGACGCAGCCGGATGTCACGCGATAGAAGGTGTCGATACTAAGTCTTATCTCATCTGGTAACCCTTCTTCCCATTTCCTTCTCTCGACTTCCTCTTCCGCCTACTCCATTTATTTTTAGTCATTACCTTTTGGACATCGTACTTGGCATGTATTTTTTTTTCTTCTAAAATTTGAAGTAACGAATAGAAGGAGGATTGAATGAAGGGATATGTATACTTCGTTAGCATTAACACAAATTAGTAGGTTTGTTCTCTTTAAACCTTGTTGTACTTGTTCTTCGTTAAGTCTGGTTCAATATCTGAACCTAAATGAACTTACCACCTTTAGATGTTCAATTGGTAACGAGAAGGTTAGTGGCGAACATCACCTTCTTCCTCTCAAATCACACACTTGGGGATTGTTGTGACTAAATTCAGAAAAAACAAAGCTTATGGAATGACAAGCCATCATCATATTTCACTAACTTGTCCTTCTTTACTGTGGCATGAACAGCAGATTGAATATATATAATTAGCATTACTTTACATGCATGAGTGGTACAATTAAGTGAACTAAAGACATAGGAGAACTTTTAGAAGTAAAAAAAAAAGGGTCTAAGAAAGCCATCGACTTCCTTTGCGTTATTTCGCTTGGTCTTGTATCTTATTGCCATCACTTTTCAGTTGGGATCTCTTATTCATGTTGAGTTTGATAATTATATATTTGTTCTCTGGAGTTGCTATCTTGCATGTTGAGTTTGATAATTATATATTTGTTCTCTGGAGTTGCTATCTTGCATATTTCTTAGCTTGAACTCATATTAAGCCATCACTCCATATTGCATCAAAGGTTGACTAAAGATGATATTACTGGTAAAAAAGAAGATGGTTGTTAAAATGGCATTGTTCTTCTTGTGTGTTGTCATCATGTGATCTTCTTGTAAAGATAGATTGAATAAGTCAATATCAGACAAATTCTGCTTTATAAAATTGAAATATCGAGTGTCATTAAACAATTAATTGACTTCTCAGAGAATTAGTATGCTTAAGGCAAAACTATTGAGGTAGATGATAAAGATTCTGGTAACTATAATAAATGGTTGTGCTTATTGAATATCACATATAGCGACAATTTGGAACTGAATGGCAAGCTATTTAATATTGTTTAACTTTTTGTGATATCCAGAATAGAGCATTGTATCACTGGTGTAGGATGATTCAGTTTATTTAGAACTGCTGTGGGAATGTTGACCAAAAATGAATAATGTGGGATGCATTGAGAATGACAAAATGATCCTCAAATTAGTAGACTATGTTTACTTCAAAGAACTAATGACAAGTCTTCTTTGTAGCTACCTCAAGTAGATAGGTACATATGGTTGTTATTTTGTAGTTCATATTTGCAAAACTAATAATCAACCACCATAGTTTTTGGGGTCTTCTACATGTATCTTTTGTTTAAGTAATATCTGTTGATTGCATGATATTGTATTATAATCAGTTATTAGTATCTCTTTATCATTTTGAACCTAGTCTTTTGCATTATTCTTCTACTTCTTTTTGTACCTTTTGGCTCTTCTGTACCATTGGTATGTTAAAGTAAATCATCTTAAACATTTCTTCTGATTTCTATTCTTAGTTTGTTTTGAATACATTAATTTCTTATTTGACTTTTTTTTAACCTTACACTAACAACAAATTCACATGTTTAATCTTATTGTTCAGATGCTAGTAACTACCCTTTTAAATGTGTATTGGCTCTTACCGGTATATCAAATGAAGTCAACTTCCTTTCTTAAATTCATCACATTTTATTCTTAAGAACCTAATAATAGGCTTTTTTTTCCCCAAGTTCAGTGAAAAATGTGATATTATTTCTTCTTTTCTATGTATTTTACCCCAGGTTTGTAATTTTATACAGTATCGGCGTTTCGAGTTTTGCTCGATACGATATGGTACGGGCATACCGAGCGGTATGCTAAGGTGTACCGCTCGATACGTATATATGTAATATAAAAAATATAAAAATCAATATATAGAAAAAAAGGAGGCATATGCTGCCTCGGTGATGTCGCCTCCTTTTCTTCTCCTTGTGGCGTTAGATGTTGTCTTCTCCTCATTTGCGGCGTTAGGTGAAGATGTCGAAGGCCGCAAGCGTCTTCGGTCTTCGACGAAGAACGCGGTGAAGGCCGGTGTCTCCAGCCGTCGGCGAAGAACACGACGAAGAAGAAGCCGAGCCGTCGCCTCTTCGTTACCTCTTGGATCGGGATCGTCGAGGGAGGTGGTGTCGGATCGGGAAGCGTCGAGGTTCTCCCGTTTCTCCCTCTTCTTCTTCCTCTTTTTCGAGCGCCTTCTTCCTCTTTTCCCTCGACGCTTCTACTTCCTAGGCTGCAGCCTGGCTGATACTGCCCGGTAGCGGGCGACGACGGTCGAAATCGACCGTTACCGACCTGTTTCGGGCGGTAACGGTCGAAATATCAACCATTACCGCCCAATACAGCCCCGTATCGTCCAATACAGAGCTAGATCAATGGTACCGCCCAGTACGGGCGATATCATTCGGTATTGTAATCCTTGATTTTACCATAGAAAAAAGTTCTTCGTAGTGGTTCTTCTTTACACAAAAGTGAAGTAACTTCCATAAATTTTTTGTTTTATGTCCATCAAAGTTTTAAATTGACTTATGCTTGATTTTATGATAATTTCAATAACTATCTCCTTTGTTATTTTATGCTGTTACTAAAAATGCATTTTCTCTGTATTTATCCTACATGTTCTTTGTTGCTAAGAATTTGTTTAGTAAATTGGTTAGTTAACTTTGAATCTCTTAAACACATTTGTACATCAATTGGGATAATATCAGACCTCATAGTCTTATCTAAATTTTCTTCTTTGTCTCATTATTTTGTGGCTCCAGAATCAGGGTTGCTAACAATACAAAATAAATAACTTGTAGAAAAGATTTTTTAATTTTTCATTATCTCACTGCCTTTTATAAAAGTCATTTGATATTTACCTTTTAATTTACATTTTCCTTCTTGCAAGCTTGTGTGTGTTTCTCTATCTTGTATATACCTCTTACCTTGTTCAAGCTTGTTCCAGAAACTATCATATGCAATATGTTTTG